TTTGAGAATTGTCCTTATTGTGCTGAGATACGGAACATAAAGATTCCCCTATATAGAGAGGTCTGGTTATGTCCCATGACCAGCCAGCCCGGTAGTACCCTCCTCAAATTCCGTGTACTGTAATTGCGAGACTCTGTAAATGGGGATGATTCCAAAGCAGCCAACGGGAGCTGTTGGCAACAGTGCTCAAAGAGAATTTTCCTTAAATCAAGTAGCAAACGTGTTGCAAGACTCCTTTGCATGGCATGGTAGTGTTATGTGACGAGACCCTAAATCCAGGTGAGCGATGGATTTTGATAAAAAAAACTTCATCTCATATTGCTCCTTGCTAGACGTGCCACAAGTGGCTTGAGGAGGTCGGTCGGTCATACGGGATGTGGTGGATTTGAGACTGAGTAACATGTTGACATACAGTGAGGGGCACAACAGGCAAGGGCATCGTGATGTGGACGGTATCGGAACAGACAAGACATGATAGGGTACTCAGTTAAGTTATTCTTCAAATGATTGATCCATGGATTCAGGAATCGATCTTGTTCAGCTATGTTTCTTTTTTTAGCACTGATTATTTAAAAAAATGGGGTCTCCTTGACCTGAGGCTTCTAGAAATGGAACCATTCGTGAATCACTGTGAGAGAGATCCTGCAAGATCGAAGAGTTTTTTTTTTTTTTTCAATCCTCAAAATTGTAGAAGAGGCCTTTCAGTCATTTGTCCTCAGAATAATCCAGGAAATATACTGAAGGCTCTATATTCCCAAAAAAAACCTTCAAATATGCGGCAGTCCAATGCCTTTATGTGGTCAGGCGGACCACCCTTCAACTCCAGCAACGTGAGAGATTAATACCAACTCAGAATCCAAAACACGAGAAGATATAGCTCAATCATATTCATTATCACCAAGCATTGTGACTGCACAAGTATTGTTTCTAAAAATGAGCCAAACAACCCTCATTTTTCTAATAGATATCTGCCCAGGTAAAGAATGACATCTCTTATCTCTCTCTTCGTCAAGTGATACAAGAGTCGAGGAGCTGCGCGAATCTTACATCTAATATAGATGAGATTTTGAGTCCTTAGATAGTCAAGGAAGTACATCACCGTTGATGCTTACAATCACTAACTTGGATGGATCTTTGATTGCTACTCTTGTAAATGGCCGGAGACTGACGAAATATTATGGGTAGTGATCTTCGAGCAAGGTCAAGCTTAAAGCATATGTATTATGAACTATTAAAATAGACTGTTTTTTGTGAAGATGTGATATGTAAGTAGTAGTAGTAGAAAATGATGTGGTGTTGTATTTTTACAAATATGATGGAACTAAAGGAGGTACGGATGTAATTAGCAAATTCACACAGGCGGAAGAATGTATTAAGGGCATACCTTCAAGTAAAAAGCATCAAGGCATCGAGAGCTCGATAATCTATCTGTTCAAAGATCTACCAAGAGCTATATTATAAAGAACTTTTGAAAGGAAATCAGAGAGGAATAAAGATGCTACCAGTGCGTAAAATGTCGATAGGAAGAAGTTGTCCGCTAATTTTGACTGCCGATTGTACGCCAGCTAAAATATAGCTTTATTTTCATGGAGCTATTTGAGGAAGCGGATCAAGATTAAGGAGGGCATTTACTCAAAAGCAAAGCTCAGCTGGAGTTATGGGACAAAACGATGTTGGCCAAGACGCTGGATCAAAGCTGTTAGGAAGAGAAGGATGGCATTGACTGGGCATTACATACAGTGTTCAAACCTAGGGAAAATTAAAGACAAATTGGTATAAAAGCGATGTGCAAAAGAATGTCGTTCGAAGAAAAATGACTACCGCATCAAACCAGCTGATCTTGGCTGAACATATGACTTAGATAAAATGCACATAGTTAAAGTTTTTTTATAGAAAACGTTTTAGGTTATTGGGGCAAATTCTTTGTTAAATTTGTGCAAACAAGGGTAAATCAACATTGGCAATTTGATAAGTGGCTAGTTTATAAATCTTTCTTAACAAACATGTATGACAAAACGGAGCGCCTAACCTTGAAGCAGCGAGGACTGTATAAACTTGGCGCAGATTGGCAGATACTGAGAGGTTAGAAGATGACACAAGGAGTGATTCTACTCGAAGCTCGGGCTCTGCTACTCTCAAAGAGTAAGAAGATAGGAAGGTGGTAAACATAGACACGACACCATCAAAATAAAAGAAAGCCATGGTGGTACTTTTGAGGAAAAGTGAGCGACAAGTTTCGCAAGGTCCACATGGTTGTTTGACCTAGAATCAGAAGGTTATTGTAATAACTACAGAGGTTTATTTTCCTTGGTTTTCCAGAAAAAAGAGCATAGCGATCAAGGAAAATGCAGAGTCTCCGGCTTTGTTTTTCAGTTATTTCATAAATTGGAAGGAGCAGTGGTCTCGATTCCGATGGAGATTAAAGAAATGAGACCAAGGTATGAGCCCGGCTGGGACCACAGTGAGGATGGATACATGAAGTTAATTCAAATGATGCATCAACTTGTCACTAGGAAACAGGCAAGAGCAGACGCAGGTGATTCAGCACTTGATAGGGAATGTAGAGCTATCATAAACTCAGAAGGCCAAAGTAGTAAGGAAGAGCATAAGTCCAAGCGAGTATCTGAAGAAATTTGTAATGTTAGAGGAGCAGACGCAGGTGAGTCAGCAGTTAATCGAGAATGTAGAGCGATCATCAAATCAGAAGGCCAAAACAGAAAGGAAGAGCATAAGTCCGAGCGAGTATAAGAAGAAATCTGTAATATATGAGGAGCAGGCGCAGCTGATTCAGCAGTTGATCGAGAATGTAGAGAGCGATCATCGAATCAGAGGTCCAAATTAGAAAGGAAGAGCATAAGTCAGAGCCAGTACAAGAAGAAATCTGTAATGTAAGAGGAGCAGGCGCAGCTGATTCAGCAGTTAATCGAGAATGTAGAGCGATCATCAAATCAGAAGGCCAAATTAGAAAGGAAGAGCGTAAGTCCGAGCGAGTATAAGAAGAAATCCGTAATATAAGAGGAGCAGGCGCAGGTGATTCAGCGGTTAATAGAGAACGTAGAGCAAGTTATCAAATCGAAAGCCAAATTAGAAATGATAGATCATGATTCCAAGAAAGTGTATGAAGAAAATTGCAACATGACAGAAGCAGATTACCGGTAAGAGGGAAAAGAAAATCTATAACTCTGGCGAGACGGTAGACAGATTGAAGAGAAGTCTGAACCACGTTGAATTGGAGGCACTCGCTCGAGTGGAAGCTGTAGACAGTGAATGAGCTCAACACCGTGATGCGCTTTGTGACGAAGAGAGTCGCAGGAACTTGGAAGGTGGTGAAGATGATCGAGACTCTCCAAGAATCCAAATAGAGCCGCAAGGTATAAAGCGTTGCATCTGGGATTCTGATTCTGTGAATGCAGACATGTAGCCATATGTCTGCATTGACAGAAGATTGCTGCCAACATTCAGGAGATGCTGTTAAGGATCAATGAGTTTACCCGAGAAATGGAGGCACAATGGAGCTGAGTAGATTTATTGAGGAAGTTTACCTATGTAGGTATTTTTTGGATTATGAGACAAAAACAAGAGTACAATTAGATTAAGAATAGTTCTGCCTTCGCAAGTGTCCATTGAACTATTGAATAATAACAAAAAGTGTAATGTAGGGTAAGACAAGCACTCACGAAGCTGGGTTCACACACATACTGTGAAGTTACCCGTGTATTCGACCACGAGCTAGAGTGGGATGCGTTATTACAGAAGAACTTCATCAAGTTTTCGCCTCGACTTCAGAGAGAAATCGAGAGATCTCTCTCCGATTGATAGACGAGATTGGATCATTTTTTGCATGCCAATGCTTGTCTGTAATTTGATGGATTGCTAATGCAAGCTCGTCGTATAGTGAGGTCAGAACTTTCATATCTGAGTTAGCTCTTAGGACGGAGGAATCCAATTTTCTCTAATGACGGATGATTGCCCCCCTCTCTATTGGTCTATTTTGATCCTTAATTCCCTTCGATTTTACTGTACTGCGTCTGGCCGTTTGTTGCTTACCTGTTAAAAATGGCAGTGTCCCTGTGTTGCTACAGGGACGCTGCCACTTCTAACAATTTTGACAGGTATGAAAGTCCCAAGGTAAAAGCCGCATATTTTTCTTGCATGCCATGGGAAATGCTACACGTAATTCAGAGCCTACTCAGACAAAGTGGACCATATTTATTCTTCCGATATTCTGGATTCCATATTTTATTTGTCTTAGAAGGCAGGAAGATGGAGCCGCTCCTTTACATGATATGCAGCTGGAGGAGAGTTAATTTAGATCACACGTCTCATTATATTACCCAACGGCAATGCGCAACCAGGCCAGATATGTAGGTTCGGTGAAACATGTACTACATTTGTATGGAGTGCTATGGATGCAATATTTTCATTTATTTACATACTAGTACTGTGGTTACAAACAGTTCAAACCCTCAGGAATTCACTGGTTGAAAATCGAATGTAAATTCTGATGTCAAGCAAGTGACAAGAGAACCGTGATCAGGTCCGTGAATACATGAGGTTATTGTGATGATTGAGTTGGAGCTTTTTAACATCAACATAATATGTGACACTTCAGTGACGAGTTTTCAAAAAGCCCTCAAATTGTGTTGATGGTCAGTTTGATACTTGGAAACATGATGCAAGGCGATGGTTTGCATTATTATACCAGATCAAACTTTTTCCCGTCGCATGAGGAATCCATTACGATGTGAAGATCTTTACGCAAATTCACCACAGGTTAGGAGCTCTGCAGGAAGCCATGTTTACAAAGTTACATGGAGAAAATGTGGTAAAAAAAAAGTTCAAGACTGTATTGTGTACACTGTCATGAGAAAAAATTCAGCTCGTCATTTGCAAACACATCATTCCAGAAGTTTTGGGTTACGAGCCGATCATGTTCAAAGTACAGAAACTTCTCGTCCATGATTGTCCTAAAACAGCGGCAGAGAATGAAACAGTGAAACTTTTAAATAATAGATTAAAATAGAAGAAATTCAAGAGTTCATCAACATCCTCTCATAATCATATGGAGGAGCATTTGGAGTTTTACCAAAGATGAGTTGGAATTTGCATGGCAGTACTGGATCGTTGAGCCTTGTTAGTAACGATCAGTAACAAATTCCTGTAAATCTGTCCTCGTACAATTTAACCATATGCTCACCGAATAATGCAGTTGAACTTCAGGTATGCCAAAGTTTTAGGTGATGAGCATATTTACAGGAATCTAAATTACTGATGTTCAGAACCAACTAGCTATGAGTCCCTCTCTGTATTAGATCATAGTAAGAACAAAAAGTTCTTATGTACATGGGAAATTGGCTTCAACTGTCAGAAAGTATGTACAGTCTGATGACACGCCTAAGCCAAAACTTGTCTCACGTACCAATGTTGGAGGTACTTAAGGTGTTTATAGTGCACATGTACATATGTCTCGCTATGGAGACTGTCCTCAGCGTCTTAACGAGTGGTATATGGACAAAATTAGGGATTAAATCTCCAGAAGACTGACAATGGAAATCGCCGCATGATATGATTGCAATCAGGTTGAAAAGAGAAAAAGAAAATAACAAATCGAAATTGGAGATGGGAAATTGGAGAATAATCGTTGCAAAATCTAGGCCTGGAAACCCTTGGATTATCAACAACGGTAATATCCATCACATCTGCCACCAGTCAGATTTCGCAGTTCCCCAACATTTCACCCTCCATTTGCTCCTTGGGAATCAGCAACGGCGACCTTCGTCATACACATCTTCATGACAGCTGCTCTTGATTTCGTCTGATGGATTGGCATAAGCGATATGTATGTCTACCCTTCGATGAAACTGGAGACTCTTGAAATCATGTATAGATGAAAATAATGACATCAGATTGTCAGAACAGTTTCGGACGGCGTGAATTTTAGTAATTCCGTTCAGGGGTATCCTCCTGCTCATCGAGCTTAGAAAGATCGAAGCCACCAACCTTGGGCAGAGGAAATCTTACAGTCGACTCTGGTGTCCACCTTTCAGCGATCTGTCTGTTAAACAATGCTCGGGCCGCTTTCACGTAGTTGAAGAAGAATGCTGTAAGAAATAAATCACACTGATAAATCTCGTCAATCAAGGCAAACCAACATTACTGATTAATATTTGTAAACTACTATGACTTAAAATTACTACTCACACCGGATCCCTCTTATGAAGGCATGACAAAATGCATCACGGTTTTATGCTTACCATCTAGGACATATTATATGACATGTAAGAATATATAGTTATGGAGTATTTGCTCCATAACTATATATTCTTACATGGATTTTGTTTAACGATTGTATCTAGGTTCTCAAATGCTATGCAAAGTGACATACAGTCTCCTATCTATCGTATACATCAATTTGTTAGAGATTGCTTCTTCTAGGACGAGAGCATTATAAAGTTTACAAGATAACACCCGTCAGAGGAGCCTACAGAACTCGTGATTTCATTACTCGGACGTTTCTCACAATCTTCTGAGGTCTGACCATGATAACTAGAGAATTAGTAACAAAACTCACATGGATTTTGGGCTTGGAGTTCAATCAGCTGCTCTTGAGTCATGTACTTGAGAAGGTCTCCAAGAGGATTAAAAGCTGGCTCTCGTTGCGTGGCAGCTTCCTCAGAGCGTGGTCGTTGTGGCTGCTCGCATACGCGCAATCCGATTTCTTCATAAAGAGGTGCTGATATTTCCCGTCCCCGCAAACTCCGTTTGCCATGGTCAAGAGAACACGGTGAATGAGCCTGCAACTGTCCACTACTTCCATCACCTTCATGCGAAGATGATGATTGTGGTGTCTCTCCAGAAGTAGATGATCCTTCATCCTCAGTCCGATAGTTGAACTTTCGCTTCTTGTAAGGGACCTGCTGAGCATTTGGCCTACTTACGCTGCTGGATGCGACCGTGTCGGATTGTGGCATTAAGGACAAAGCTCTCAACTCAATCAGAGGATTCATGGGTAATTGAGGAATATCTTCAATGTTGCGATGAACTTCCTTTGAAGTAGTGCTGCTGGAGCGATTTTGCCACTTCCGCCATGTGGTCCCACGTAAAGCTGTTATCCTAAATGAGCGCTCACCTCGAAACACACCATTTCTCGATTTACCTCCAGAGTATTTGGTGTTGAACGTGTCGAGTGCATCTGTCGTGGTCGATCCTGCGTCTATCTTATCTGGAGATGTTTCACCTTCAGCAGTATGTTCTGACGACGCGGAGACTTCATGCACGTTAGTCTCAGGACAATCCTTCCGCAAACTAGCTGAGACATTCACAGGTTGAATAACTTTGTAAGAGTTCTGATGGATTTCTTGGTCAACAGATGAGCATTGTGGTTCTGGGTCAACTGGTCGGCCTCCCCATGTCGATAATTTCTCAACCTGGAGCTTCCAGTTTGAAAATTTAGATTGTTGATGAGATAGTGAAAGATCGCACTGAGATGCGATTTCCCCTCGGATATGACCAGACAAAGATGATTGGCACAGTTTAAAAGCAGAATTCCGGGTCGAGTCGGTACAAGATGTTCGAAACATATTCGACCTGGGTACAGGAGTTTCAGCACCAGCTGCTTCGTTAATCGAAAGGCTCTCAAACGGCCTCTGGGCTCTCTTCTTCCGAGGAACACTAAACTTCCGGCACACATGGGCATTCTCATCCCTGTCGGGTTCTTTGCTTGCAGATGACTGCCCTCTAGCAGAGTTTTCGACGGACTTGAAGCGGTCTGCTGGTAAAGAGAGTGAAATTTGATGCAGTGACTGCATTTTTGTCTGCTGAATCTGACTCAAGTTGGAAATTGAACCATCACATACAGTACTTTGTCGTGATCCCGACCCTTTCCTTTCCTCTTTCATTGGTGATCTCGAACTGCCCCGTGGTTGGTAGTTTCTGGTGCGACGTCCGTCAACTTTTTTGGTGCCAGATGATTCCGCCAAATCTGAAATAAATAGAAAACGATTCAGTTTGTTCGACTTATTTGCCTTGACATAATTCTCATCCAAAATGCTTAATTGAGAATACCTCCATAGATCTCTTAACCGAAGATAAACATGCAAATCTTTGCATGTGAAGAGAAGAACTTCGAATATTTCTAAGAAGAAATCTCTAATTCCCTTCTGAATACTGAAGCTCTACATCGGAACTGCAGTGCAGGAATACCCAAAAATTCAGGAGATTCAAACAATAGATTTTTTTATCGTTTGTTACCAGCAAGTGTGACGAGATGCTCTGCAACACCTTGGCTACCCAACCACTCGTACACCAAGCCTGGTTGTGTCTTCTCACTGGCCACCCTTCTAATGAGATGGATAGCATTAAAGATGCGAGCTACTTCTCCTAGCCGCCTTGTTTTGGCTGCAAAGATATGGACTAAGGAGATGAAGTCATGTGTTTTCGTGAAGCACGGAATATGAAAAAATATGTACAAATTCAAATATTATACCATCATGGTTTGAACTCAATTGAACATGATCCTGATAGTGCAAAGTGTGGGAGTGTATTAAGACAACGGTCCAAGCACATTTATGCACAAGCTTAAATTAGGGTAAAGTTTCCAATCTGACAGTGCTAAGCATCTAAATTTGCCAACGAGTGTCAGGAAAATTGTTCAGAAATCGAACCTCTTATCGTTTCAGGATCATCACCCTGGCCATCGATAATGTACTCGAGCATTCTTTCCCAGGATATATGTGGCGATTTCTGCAATTTCAAGATTTCAAGTTAAATTTTCAAGAAGATTCGCGGTTGGAACAAAGTACAAGATTAATTGCACCTTAAGCATAATCCACCAGATTATTGTATCTCTCAAGTACCCTGTACCTCATGTATTAAAAAGAGCTGAACGAATTTTTTGCTAAGTGACCGCATGGGATTGTTTATTTCGCTTTCTGCAACCACACAACGACCAAAAAGTTTTTCTCGTCAAGCCTCGATATTTTTTGAACTACGTTAACTCCTTAATTCCCAGGCAGAATTTAAGTCAACTACATGACATAGAAGGACGCAAGAAGTTCACAACGATGAAAACTTTGAGAAGGAAGATCTTGAAATGTAAACGACTGAGATCGAAGACGAGATTTGAGTGAATTTTGTGTTCAGTTTACACCTTCAAGTATAAATAATCCGAACATCCATTTTAACCAAGCAGCGCAGTCTAACTAACACTTGATGTCCAATCGTGGAGGTGAGAGCTAGCTAAAGCTGGAGCAATATTGATGAGAATCGATGTGGTAAATAAGAAAGATGATTCCAGATGTTTCATACTCAATTCTTCAATCTCACGATGATTGATATCCCCGTTCCTCGCTTTGGGTCTTCTACCGGGACGTGTCAACGTTCGATTTGATTCCTTTGCTTCTCCATCATCCTGGGGGGTAACCTGTCTATCATTAGTGACCTTTTGTCTAAATTAGATCAAGCACAAGCAAATCTCATTTTAATTTGTCCATACTCCTTAAGCTTACCTTGAGTCTTAATAAGGCCCGAGCAATCTGAGTGCTCCCAAGCCAAAGATACTTCTCTTTTCCTTGGTTCTGAATAACATTAATGATTTCCAGCACGTTGATGATTTCTAGAATTCGCCTACGTCTTGCACCTGCAACCAACATCAGATACCCATACCGATTTTAGCTGATAGATCATTGAGTTTCCTAGCCCGTAAGTGACTTTCATCATCATAAGCGACGAGAGAGAATTGATGAAGTATGCATACTATATGATAATAATAACATATTCTGAATACACATACCAAGTGTATTCGCCAGGAGTCTCAGCGTCACATATGCTTGTCCATATTCTTGCTTCGAAACACAAGCCATGAGCAGTCTGAGGTTCAACCAATTCACTAGGTAAGTTGAGAAGTAGATCCGAGGCAAAAAATTTTAGCAGTTATCTCTTTGTAAAAACTGATTAGTAGGTGAAAACTGCAACCTAGTAACTCCAAGTATGGAATGTGAACGTAGTTAAAGTTCAATGGACCATCCAAACGTATAGCTTTCGCAGCGAAGTTCTGCATTAATATCTCATCAGGGAGGATTTATCTAGTCGGCCTTGAAGTCTGAATCCGAAAGTGTTCAAAACCTAGGTACTTTACTACATACGCTTTTTAGACAGTAAAATAGAAGATACGTGCAGAAAAGTACTTAAAGCAAGCAAGATACTTAATTGGATGGAAAGGAATTCCATAACGGTTTCAATTTATGTAACAGACTTTGGATCTTGTAATATTTTCTATATGAGTTCAAGTAGTGCTCCCATTCCACCGCTTTACATGACTATTCATCCAAACTTGCAAATGATGCAGATCTAACAACGGAATTTGATCTGACAAAAGTTCGCACCTTTCGCATAGGTCTGTCAAAGAGTGTTCCTTTTCGTCTTTGTACACTGCACCAGTTTGATCAGATGTTGTAGCTTTGTGGGAAGTCTGGATATTGGTCATATTATTTTCATCGACTTCCTGAAAGGTAATTAGAGTCGTCAGTACAGAACGTAAGTGACTTCAGCGGGTAGTCTTCCGTTTCAATATACCCGTTTGTTAGGCGACAAATGTATGCAATGAATATTTGTAATATAATTTCACTTAGATGAAAATCTAGAAGGAACGCAAAGATATACTAGCAACACAAATAGCGGAAGAAGCATACTGGAGACAGACCACAAAGTCTTAACAAATTTGGTTTGTCACAGATGCAAGAACCGTGAGCACAAATTAAATTCATGTACTTATAGACCATCGAAAGATAGCAAGTGCCCAAAGATCTTCACAAATGTTAAGGTCACCAATGTTTTCGATTACCCATAGATAGCAAGGCAATCTGGCCTGGAATGTATGATCTATTCCGATGAATATGCATATGGTGGTGATGCAACTTGAACAAGAGACCAAGGCTAGGGCGCGATCACGATCACAGGATATGCATGATGACATGACATCCACGCTGAAGATGCTTGCACTCGAGTGCAGATTGAGGACTTCGAGTTAGAAAATGCAAGAGAAAGTTAAGGTATCTCGATGATAACCTGATCAAAATCATAGATATCTTTGTTCAGATCAATGTCGAGAAGAGGACTTGATGTCAATTCGCCTTGCTTGGCGGTTTCGTCTGTAGTAGTAGACTTCGAGCTTTTGGGAGGGCTGGAATTCTGGATGATATCTGAACATCTTTCCGGAAAGCAGTTACGAACAGTTTATCTATCAATTAAACAGAAATAACAGGAATTGTAACCACAACCTCGAACCTAGTGTTGATGTACAAAATCTCGTCCAAATTTGCAGTCAAAACATCTCTGAGGATTCTCCACGACGTTCGTTCACATAAAAACAATATTGTTACGTGAACTAACGTAACAATATTGTTTTTCAAAAGCACTGTTGTTGCCTATCTATCAAACCCTTTTGAAGAACATGAACTACCTTCACTATGTTTACACACCTTGCAGTGGTGATCTGCTGCTGATTACAGCTTTATCGTGAATTCGATGACCAGCATTACGAATGGGAGATTCAGCTATGCTAGAATTCCAGCCACCTGTAGTGTGTGAACGTTTGTGGAAAGTAATTAATTACAGGATACGTTCATTGTATCAAGCTTCTCATTAGCTACAATTATTGATATCCCTGCATGAGACGTGAATAGGTCTATAAATGGAAATCTTGTGCTTTTATCTGCACGACCAGTTGAATTCAGTCCATGGGAAATTCATGAAAAGACAATGGCAGCAGCGAGGGAAAAAACATTTGTACCTTTAATATGACAGTGTAATTTAAAAGATGCCGCACCGAGAGGAGCATCGTTGTTGGCCAAAACGCGAATGCTACTGGATACGGTCGATCCTAGCAGCTGATTTTTATCATCGTAAGCTGCGACCAGGAGCCGGAACTTTGAAGTTTCATGTCTGGGGCAGACATGCGTGCTTGCCTCGTCAATGGCGATGTATAAGTGTCGTGGCTCCTTCCAGGAGTCCTCACCATCCAGCCCGGATGCATTTCGCCTTGGCATCCTTCCAAACCTCTGAAGCCCTCGGATGACGGGACCTTTGCAAGATTTCCTGCACTTTGCTCGTGTTACAGGGATCCATTGGTAATTAACAGACTGATTATCTGTTCGGCTTGTGCCATGGGGTGTAGCGTAAACCACATATATGTACAAGTGCATGCGATTGTTGTTTATGAAGCGCACGTTGAACTTCAAACAGCTCTCTCGCAACAACTCGTCGACCTCGGACCCAACACATGTCTCGATGGCCTCCGACACCTTCAATTCGTTAATCTTTCCACCTCCTACATCTTTAATAACCAACTCCACCTGATTATAAGAACATTTCTGTTTTCCCAGTTTGTAGGCCCTGCACAAATACGGCGTCATCTTCAGTAGTTTGTACAAAGAAGTGTCATAGGAAAACAGTGCAATACTCTCCCTTTTTTCATTGTTGCCTTAGTTATGGCCAAGCTTTTTAACCCAAGGACTTCAAACTGGTGTCCTGATGAAACTTTGTTCAAGGGATCAGTTCTAAGTGAAAAGACAGAGGAATGTCTAAACAATGTACGTGCAAGTGATTAGATGGACACCGGAAACACTGTTGAAACTGGCCGAAAATTTCACAATATTAGCTGCTCAGGTTTGCCACCTCTAGTCAAAATTACAGGAGAGCTTAAAAGGAAAAACTGGAAATATAGTTGTTAACGCTAGTGGAGACTTGAACCGGATCTAATCGGAGATGTTGAACTGGAATGATCTTTCGTCCTCTGTTTGTTGGATATGGGTCTTTTTTTATTGTAAATGTATCAGATTTATTGTGCTACATTTCAATATTCTTCAATATTTTCATTCATCTGAAAGGTACCTCAATTCCGGCTGTTCAGCAATCGCAAGAGGGCTGCTTGTAGAGACCGGACAAAGCAGCTCTGTCCCTTTGAAAATTGCCTTCCCAATCATATTCTCCTTGCCCTTGGGCTGCCTTTCATTAATGCACGGTTCCGAGGCTCCTTGATTGGAAGGTTCCATCAGTAATGTATCAATGTCGGGCTCGTACCGATGTATGCGACATCCGATTTCAGGAACAACTGAAAAGCAGAAACAGATATGAGAAAACATGACAAAAAATGTAACAATTATTGAAACTTTCGTTAGTACTTCATGTACTTCAAGCTTGCTTACGTTCACCAGCAAATGTTCCTCACAACAGTATAGTGTTCCGCACTTAATATTTCTAGCAAATTTATGTTAGTCAAAAATAGTTTATTCAATCTTACAACGGTTGAAATATCAAAACAAGAGAATTCTTATGCATCACGACAATTCTTAATTGCACAGTGCTTTCGCTTAATTACATCTGCAAAACTTTTGGATAAACACTTCCAATATCTGTAGACAGCAATCATTATCATGGATCATCCAACATGCGTTTCTATATTTAGAAAGTCCTTCGATTTTAACTCCGCTTGACAATCGGTGTTCTTTTCTCACGCAATCTGATTCAGAATAAAATCAACGTGACCACATGGTCACGTTGATTTTATTCAGAATCAATACAACACGTGACCACATGGTCACGTGTTGTGCGCTCAGCACAAATTGCGGGCAGTCGGTCTGTAAGGGTACTCTGTTCCTGACGTATAACATTCACCAAATTTAGCAAGACGAGACAACACGTTCAAACTGAAGCTAGAGAAGACAGGGTAATTGCCACATGGATAAGCAGCTGCAGCTCCTGCTCGAGACGCATGACATCGAACAGTACATTCGGGACAGGTTGATTTGTCCATTAATTCTGATGGTTAATGGTCAGAAGGTAAAACTTGAAGTATTTTCAAGATCATGGATCCCTTGCTATTGTCCAATTAGAAAAACATACTGGACATGATGTTTCCTGAAAGTACAGATGGAATCCTACCATCAGTGCACTGGTACTATAATTACATCTTCTGTCTGCTAATGTAGAGAACTGGAATCAGCAACAGCAACTCCTACTAGGGAGAGACTGAGGTCCTCGGACAGAAGATGAGAGAGGGTTCGGCAATTATCACTACTCTTTACCAGTCAATCTAACCGCTGACACAGACTTGTACAATACCCTTAGATTGCACGCATGAAATAACTGAGAGTAATCCAAAGTCACATCCACCTACCACCATGAGTCTTGTAATATAGCAACAAAGGCAGCATCTTGTGACATAGCAATAAAGGCAGCATTTTGACCCGATAGGCAAGATGTTGAATTTTGTATTTGTAAGTGGAATGTTTCAAACATCATGAGCGATTTCTCTTTCAAGTCTGGTATCAACTCCGGTTTTCCAATTGACAGTTTCGACGACGAGTATTTTTAATAGGACCTCAAACATCTTGACCAAGCAAGGTACTGAATATAGTACACACGAATCGAAACGAGATGCACAAGACTGTTACAGTTACTGTGCGTGGACTAAAAGTTCAACATTTTATGAAAATTCCAACATTTTAAGGCTACTGATTCTCGTTCAAGTTCAAGCGAAGACTTTAACGAGCATCCCAGGCGACCGCCGGGCCGCATGAACGAAATCTTACCAACAATTAAGGCATGTTGTATACCTTGTAATGAACGTAGTATAACATATCTGAAAGATGAACAAACCCCTGCTAAATTGTATGAAGGGGATTGAGATACTTTTAATTTACCGATTTTCAGGGGTACAAATTTGACGCGCGAACCCAAATCTGTGACGACGGTCCATCCATAATCACAGCGTTTTCGTGAGACTTGTAGAAGTCCAAGAATCTAGCAGGCTTTTATGTTTCCAAGACGCTTAAGCCATTGATCTTGAGCAAATGACCAGAGCTGCGACTGCGAGGGCAGAAGCATTTTTGTCTCCTTAGCTCGTTGCATGATTCGAAACATGTACGTGGTGTTTAGAGAGAACCTCTAACTAAGGATCAAGTCTTTCATGGCAGTTGTACGATAAATTCGAATCTTTATCGCGAACATTTCATTGCGGCACGTCGCAATATTGCTCAGCCTGCAGGTATTGTTGTATGTGAAGGCTACGATACAAGTTGGATTCTGGTACCATACCATATTTCTCGGATTTTAATGCGGCAAGTTAATTACGACGGAAAGTTCATGGGAACTCCTCCGATCAGAGCAGAGCCTCAGAGCCAGCGTCGGAAAAAGGCTTGGGCCAGAGGTGACGCGCAAGTCGAAAACAATGGCAGATACGATACACGAGCAAGTTAATTCTGGGTCGTTAACGAACATTCAGACGATCTCTGGGAAGGTGAAGAGGCATGCAATCATATCGCGAATATTACCTTGAATATCGCGTCTCGTTTTCTTGGAGACCCCCACCTGGACTCGTTCTCAGTAGTTTGAACAGATAGCTGACAGCCGAGACCCGATAAGACTAGGTCAATCAGCTCTGATTAGCTGCAATGATCAGGGCAATGTTCAGACTGACTTCCACGTACTGGAGATTGAAACAATTGATACTGACTCTTGCGACAATTGACAAGTAAGTTCAGTTCCCTGAAGACTATTACTTGCTAGCTGAGATCCAAGAAGCATATCGAAACCATCTCTACAGAATTGGTAGTTTACCTACAAGGGGTATTCCCATGCCTAATTAATTCTGCGAGGACGAACTCAGCAATATGGAGACAGATACGGTCAGAACTCTAGGAAGATATTGACCCGGATCATTGTAACGAGAAAATTGTCAACTTGGAACACACGTCTCACTGAGCGAACAGAAAGCCTTGATCCTACCAATAAACAGCCTACCAAGCACAGTACGTGTGCACAAGCAACCATCAGACATGATTGGCTCGAGGTTCTATGGCGACTAGTGACGACAATTTGCGACACGATGTACGCTCTCGTACAGGATGACGCAAGACGAAAAGCAACTTCACCTCATTGACTGTGAGAAGAATCAGTCGAGAGAAAGTCTCAAGAGTGTGGACGCAAATCGATCAGGCTCGACCCTGTTGATTCTGCAGCAAAACTGTCAGTCCCACGTCGCAGTCTCTGCAGGCGGACTGTCGAGCACCGCGACGATCGAGGGGAGTGAATGGGCCCGGACTCGGGGCTCGTCGGCTTATCATCATCTGCGAAACTCCGAGACCAGCAGGGCAAGAACCCGAAGGACCCTGGACCTCCGACGACGGTAGAATTCAAAAAGCGCACGAGCTGCCAATTTTGAATCGCAACGCATGGTGCGCGTGGTGAGCGAGTCCGAAATCAAAGTAAAAATTTGAAATTCAAGAGCAACTTGTTACACTCGTGGGCACGCGGTGCAACGAGTGACGGCACCGGACGTCCCGCGGGCGTTCGTCTGCATGGAAGGGAGGAGAGAATAGGCAGAGCTTGGGGCAGCCTCGTGGTCTGACTGCGTGCCGCGGGCGGATCGGAGGCGCACTTCGATACAGTAGCTCAGTCGAACTTCATACAACGCACCGTGCTGCAGATGGACGACGCAGGCTCTGCATGCTTGGCTTGAATCGACGGCAGCGTACGCTCCATGAAGCAGTCTGTACGGAGAAGAAACAGAAGGGGGAAGAACAAGTAACCCCCAATTAACGAACAACGCGAGCTCTATCCCGAACCGTGTGGCGTTCGTCGCGATTGGCGAACCAAGAACTCGTGAGTGACCACCACACGGGAGACCGGGGGATACGGACTGAATCTGGCGTACTGTTCTCGTTCGTGTAGTGTCACGTGCAACGTGGACCCCGTAAGCGTGACTGCGTAAGGGCCGAGAAGCGACAACGATGTTCGCAGTCGCCGGGAAGCCCTTACTGCAATGCGGGTAGGGCCGGGGGATCTAGGGCAGAGGCCCGGGCAGGGATTTGTGAAATGGGTGGGCAGGACTTGGCCGGGCCGCGGGCGCTGTCTTGGCAAGGCGACTACCGTTGCCGTTGCCAACGGGTCTCAGACGCGCGGGCTTCAAGCATCTTGGCGCGGCCCCGGCTATGCCGAACGGGTTCTTAGTTTGAACGCAACTTCTCTGGTTTGAAACGCAAGTTTGCGGTATGCCGCTACTTCTTGCAGGGTATACCGCAACCTCGGGCTACGACCGGATATGTAAATTTATGTCAAATTATTATGTAAATTTAGATAGAAGGTTTATCATGTATAAAAGTTATCAGCATTTTAAAAATAAATAATGAATCAAGCTTTTCCTTCGCAGTATGCCTTTTTTGGGTAAGTGAACAAGCAAATGCTAGAGCTGATACTCTATTCAAAACAGGAGTATCCAAATAAAGATGCTGAAAAGGAATTTGAATCCTCTTAGAAATTAAAAAATCAGACAAGTAATAGGAAAAAACCATTTAACTTAAGACGCGATATTAATTTCAGTGCGAATTTTTCACTAAGAGTAACATCTAAATATTCCTAAATTTGTCTACAGATATACAATTCTATATGTATGTTGGTAAATTTATTTTTAATTTTCTATTATTTTAAAATTCATTGTATCTATATGATGTATTTAAATTTTTAGTATCACATCAGTTGATGATAACATCAAGCATATAGAGTTTTCATAATCTTGAATGTTAAGACAACTGTTGACTACGCTTTGTAACTACAACATCTTCTGTTTTTTTCTCTGATGGCTTTGACATTTTTCATTTACGCCATGAGTCGCCGTTTCCCAGTATAGAATTTACAGTAATCATTACTACTTGCTCACTTGTACGAGATTAGTTTGTTAGTTGAGGATCCAGAGACTACCAGTCTCAAACTGATGGTCACCCTCATGGTTCAGAAATAGTTTACTCTACATTTAACTTCAATCTTCATCTGTTTTAACATAATCTCTCAAGTTGTTCATTCAGTACAAGAATGTATTGAACGTCTTGGCTTTGCTAGGTTATAGTGAATATTATAGTCTCTTGAGAAATGCATAATGAATCATCTGCTCTGGATACTGAAGCAGCACCCTTCTTCTCAAAACTGGAGCTGCAACAGTTTGAAGGGTATTTCACTGGGACTTTTTTACTGGTGTTGAAAGCCATCATTGTTCTCTGGAGTATAGACACACTAACTTTTGGACTGGCATTTTACTAGCTTCAATATGAGAATAGATAGAATTACTCCTTTGTATGTTATCTCAGTGCAAAATTTTTTACTAAATGAATCGTTATATCCTGAAAAAGCTACTGTTTCTGATCTGTCAGTTAACAAGGGCTACATTGGCAGTGATATCTAACAAATTTGAGTTTGATTACTGACTACATGAAACAATTAAAATTTAGAACTGCCCCGGTTCTTTGTCATACTCCTTTGAACTTGTATTCACTATTGATTTTCAGCCCCTCAAACCCTAAGAAATGAAAGCAAACAAGAATTTTTTTAAATACTAAACAATTACTTAATCTCTATGTTGTTTCTTATGATTTTTCATGAATTTTCAAGCATGTTCAATTTTGGGCACAGTCTTGTAACGAACAGAACATTAGACGATTTAAGAGACTGGATACAACTTAAAAGCCCTACAATATAGGCGTATTAAGAACTCCTTGAACACTTAGTTGTGGCCCTAATTATTATATTGGTTCTCAATGAGGTCATTTTTTGAAGTACAATTCCGGCTAACCAGACTTCTGGGTTAAGAGTAATGATTCTATAGAAGATATTCATCTATAATATTTTTTAAGTGCAGAGTAGTCATTATGAGCTTACCTTAACAAGTAAATAACTTCAGATACATACTTCTTATATAGCCTAGACTTTGATTCAATCTAAGTTGACAGTTGGTAGTCTGAAACCTATTTCTTAGTAGAAAGTGAGTCAAACTATCAGGTTTATTCAATTGACGTATATGATCATCGACTGATAAGAAAGAATTTTAAAATTACTTAATTGCAAGTTTAACTTGGAAGCTGAAAGAACTGTTGTATGTACAGCTATAAATTTCAAATAAGATATCAGGCGTCATACATTGAAGAAAGAACTCTACTAGTGCTTCGTGTGCCAAGTCTCTTGGCTTCGTTTGCTTGAAATCCCCAGCTGTATAGAAATTATATCGGATATATACCAAAATAATATTGAATCTTCAATCTATGAACAGCAGCGACCACCAGCCTTGGAATGTTTTTTATTCTGCTATTGATTGTCTTACATCGAAGATTCCAGGTATCCAGAAATGAGCTTCATGTTCTTCATAAAGTTGCTTTTTCTCCCTGGATATCACAAAATTTTCGAAAAGCAATTGCCCAAGCTTTATAGTTCTAAAATCCTTGGAAGATTCAAAAAACGCTACTATCCATTTTGAAAAAACAGAGAGCTACTGAATCGGTTTATATATATATATATATATATATGTTTAAGTTACTCGAGTTTCGGAAAAATTTTGTAGAAATTACTTAATATTTCGTTGGAATACTAGATGCTATTAGAACTATTGAACCATATTCATCTAAAGCGCTAGAAAACAAATCGATCGGGCGGGTAATTTCAGATCATATATTGCTCCACGAGATCAAATTGATATTTTCAGGATAAATTTCTGAAAAAATATACAATTTTGTCACCAGGCTAGAAATCCTAAAATGGCACCTTCTATTTCTATAGAAAGAAAAGGTATTCATATTATAAACCTTACCTAAAAAGCTAAATATTTATCTGAAGCTTCTGATTTAGTTGCAAATGCGTGAAGCAAAGGAAAACAATAACTATTTGACTCTGCAGGTCAATATATGGCTTCATAACAAGCGCATTTGTCCCATTCTACACCTATTTCTAGCGTTTTAGGCATATCAATCGTCCAGCCTGCATCCCTTTAAGAAAATAGGGTTAAGTTACAGTCAAGACTGAAATATATCGCATGGAATTTTTATCTCTGTCTTGTTCAACGTGAAGTGGAGCTGAACTGCAATATCCACGAAAATTGGAGCAGTTAGTGTGAGAAAAAAAAATTGCACAGATTTTATGATACTTTTTAATATTCTGATTATATTCATGATTTTTTCTCCTTTATTCTGCATCGTACACTGGACATGAATGTCTTCATCCATTGCGACCTCAGGTTCTTCATCTGAAGGAAAAACCTGCTGATAGTGAATATTTATATTTATAAGTTTTGTGTGTGTGTGAGAGAGAGAAAGAGTGCTTTCAGTTTGGAATTGAATTGCTGTTCTTGGACATCAATTTAGCACATGATCCAACACTCCAATCGCCGCACTCTCCCAGCATTCGTCCCATATACTCGTCCAATCAGTATTGAAATTTGTCTGATATAGGTATGATTTGATGATGCAGTGTACGTGAATGTTTTTTTGTTCCAATTCAAGTGTAAGGAAGAAAGTGTATTTTGAATAAATTCTATCTTACACATTCATAGCTTCGAGATATAAGCTTGGACATGCAACCTTAAAGGCTCGATGATCGAAAGATAGAAAAGCACGACACTGGAATATTATTGCACCCTCACCTCGCTGAATATTATTCTTAATTGCCTTGACTCCAAAAAAATTAAAAAATTTGGAGTCCCGACATATAGTTGGTCATCTTTGCACCAAACTTACTAAGTTTCCAGATTGTGACCCACCGTCATCCGATTTCATGTATTAAGCATATCAGTAATTAATCTCAGGAGAGATCACCTTGTACATCGTTTCTCCATTGTTGTCGTTGAACAGTTAAAGATACCGCTGTTTAGACGGAATTAAGTGAGGTGTAGATCACTTGTCCAAGTATAATGAACAAATATTATACATCTTCTGAAGGACATCTACCTATAGTTTCCTTCTTGACAATACACCTTACGTGAAAGCCTATGCACCTGCTCTCTAACCAAGCAAAACTTATAATATACATCCTGTTTTGACCTCAAATTCTCGCCAAAAAAATTGTTCAGCTATCTAAGGTAAGTACTTAACTATCCTCGTAATAGAAGTACATACAGAAGACCGAGTCTAATAGCTAACCATCTACATTAATCTGTACACCCTTTGGGCTCACATTAAAACCCCTATTGTACACAAAGTGAAACTATCTTGTTCTTGATTCACTTACATAAGGCTAATCCTACTGCAGGTATTGTTTCTGCCTTTTATCATTTCTTGTACAAACCTATCTATCAAATCACACAATATTCCCTGAGCTAGATCAGAAACCACATCTCTTGCTTCTTCAGGGCATATCTCCCATTGTTCCTCATCCAAAACCTTGCCAACCACCTTGTCAATATCAGGGCCATGTTTCAAAGCCGTGCTTCCATGCTCAACTATTCTACTTGTGACAGCGTTCACGAGGTTACCACCATCAACTGCCAAAGTACTGTTCAAATGAGACTGCTGAACTGTAACAGAAATCTTAATAAGCGACTCATTGACCAAGTCTGACAGCAGTTTGTTGTGGAGCTGCCATTCGCTCTGGTTTAAGGTGCCAAATCTACTGCTGCGCTCAGTCTCCATCACTCGTCTGTAGATTTCTTGGCCAACTGGAACATTTGAGTCAAACCAGTTTGAAGGACTTGGATCATTGAGAAGACGGGAAAGCTCTAGAGTTTTATGTACATAAGACTGGACGTAATCTTTGCTGTTGAGAAGAGGAATAGCCGTCTCAGTTGTAGCTCTATGCAGAAAACTGAAATCGTCAAAGTTATCCTTTGAAGTATAACCATTATGGAAGGTTCCAGTGAGTGCTTCATTTTCCGAGATCGATGACGATTTTTTGAAAACTGAACTCAGAGGGTGTGGCCTCAATCCTTCCACCTCTAAAAACGAACCAGCCTTATGTTTCACAGAGGCTGCTCTCCAACCTGTTGGCAGGAAGTGTTTCAGGACTACCACAAATCCTCTTTTTGATCTGCTCTTGTTCTTCGATTTTGTTGTTTTTGATACGGTCAATGTCTGATTGGCGTCTCTTGCTGTTTGAGAAATTGACTTTGATGGACAGGCATATTCTGGAAAAACGTTTGAAACAATTTAGTACAGAATATGAAAGCTTGATGTACAAGATGTTTACAGGTGAATACATCTCCGTCTAACCAATGCACAAGGCCGATGTATATATTTCTGATGTAACGTAATTTGATCCAATTATCAAGACATCTTTCTACACCATTTCTCAAATCTTGAAAATACAAAGAGAATGGATTACCGGATAATCCCTCTGCCAGCAAAGTTTCAAAGAGCATCTCAGTCAAAGTGTCTGCCATCATATTGTGCTTCCCCGTCCTGTTTGCTGCTGTTTGCAGTTTGATATCCTCCAGAGTTCCATCAAGGTCTTGAGATCCACCAGATCCATCAAGAGAACAGATGCTATCTTGGTCATGACCTGTCACGGTACTACTATCTTCTGAAGAAAACCTGCACAGCTTTTGTTCGTTGCTGTCCTGAGTTTCAACAGCGTAGGGCATTTCGAAATTCATATATTCCGCCTGTTGTCCTCCCGGTATGCAGGATCCTTCATTGTAACTACTGGAGCTTTCATTATCTTCAACTACCTTCAGCTGTGAATTCTCCACCAGGCGATCTTCACACGCGACCTCCAAGGTACTGTTTTCTCCTGACAGACTCAGCTCTTCATCAAAAATACTGCTATTGGAATGATGCAAGCGTCCTTGTCTCATCTCTGGAATCTGCAGGGAGATGGCTAGCGCAGAAGCCATCTGAGGTACAGAGGTGGTTACAGAGTTCATGAATTCTCGAAATTCTAGTAACTCCGTTTCTTTCGATGTCGTTTCTCGCAAACCACATGATTTTTTGGTTCCCAATTCAACTTGCCTTTCAAACCGTTCGGTATGTTCTGGAGCAAAAGGAACAATTTGAATATCACTGAGTGAGTCCGCGGGAAGAACCAACCCTGGTTTGCAAGATTGGTGAGCGGATCTTGAGGAAGGCAGGAATTCAATGTTCTCTTCTTGCACGGTGAAGTTCTCCGTGATCTGGTCTAGTCTTGAAAGATTCACAATCTCAGACTCTTTAGCGCCCTCTGGATCACATGTAATGGATTGGTCGCTTGGGTCATCCTCTGCAGTTTCTGATGACCCTGAAAAAAAATTGTGTGGTAAGCCACAAGAGAAAGACGAGTCTTTTTTTGTCACTTCCTTAGTATCATCATTACAGTCCAAGGAAGGGAATTTTCCAGGATTATTATCTACTACTGAAGAACTGGTAATCACTCTTGAGACCTGAGATGCCCTGTCGAGAAGCTCTGAGCCACTTGAGAGGAAGCATTCCACAAGTCTAGAGGCTTCTTCTGACAACCACGATGTACATGGTTGACTCTTTTGACTGGTAAAGTCTCCAGCAGTTGGAGGAGTTGTTGAAATGTGCTCTCCTCCTTGTGATTTTGACTGCTCTAAGTGAGTCCTGACAACCTCTACCCCGTCAAACCGTTCGTCACCACTTGGATTAGAAATTTTTTGATAAGTCTCCATTCTCCCATGACCTTCCGACCAAGAACTCTGAGTGTCAAGATCGAGGTGTTCAAATCCCTTGGATACCGCAGCCATGCATTCCTCGTGTCTAACTTCCCCTAGATTACTTAAAAGGATAGGCGTTGATGCGCTACTGTCGTCAAGCTTCACATAGTCACGAGGACAAATACTTTCGGTGAGATCCCCGCCTTCATTGCTCTTGGTCAAGACAATTTCTCCTCGTTTATCCACAATATTGTTGGGATTCTCCGTTCTCAAATCTGTCTCAGAGCCACAGACTGACACTTTCAAGGAATCGGTCCCCAACCCGCAGGACATTTCTGTTAATTTCCAGCTGGTCGCATCAAGAGGTGAGTGGACCTTCAGAATTTCCCCACCTTTGGTTCCTTTTGAAATACTTCTATCCAAATTCTCTCCATCAAGTTCGGATTCAAATTCTTCCAGTTCCTCGCTAACATCAGACTCTTCAGACTTATTAGATACATTTCTCCCTCCAATTCCGTACAAGGATGGGAAGAGATTCAGTGGTTGTCTCGGTGGAGACCTCAAGATATCCAGATTTAGTAATGGCGTTGAAAGTTGGCCGCTATATTGCAGATCAGCTTTTTCTTCTTCCTTAGTCGTCGTGATCGACTCACCTGTACACTTTGATCCAAATCTTGGGGACGTGCAGTCTTTGCTGTCTTCTGCGGTCACGGTGATGTGTATGTCTCTTGCCAAACGTAATTGCTTGTCATTTGTAAGAAGGCCGAAGCTATTGGAGCAAAGAAATCCTTGCTGCTCCTCAGATGTCAATGTCTCATCCCTCACAGGTTCTCCTCTGTCCAGAGACATACCTGCCAATGTCTCCGATGGCATCGAGTCTTTTGAGAGGAGAACGGGTGAAAGTACTCTTTTCCAACTTCCTCTTGCATCATCGCCTTTGTTACCAAGTTCTTTAAACCCGATGTTGTCCTTTGACATTAAAAAACTTGGTTCCAGTAAGATGGACCTCTGACATGTTTCTTTCACATGCGAACAATCACGAAATATGTCCCCACGTGCTGTGCCAAGTTCATCAATGACTTCTGGCACATCCGTCCGAGTGATAAGTTCTGTAAATAAGACTCTTGCAACATCTTCAACCTGCGAGGACCTCACTTGGACAGCTGGAGCCAACGGATTCTGCGGGGATGAAGATGGCACTTGTAGTGAACGGTTTTTCTCATTATTCTGGAGTAGCGCAACCAATTTTTCCCAGTGCTTTTTCCCTCTGTTTCGAGAGTCATGAAAATCATATCGAAGACCGTCCATTATGTCAGCACATGTTTCTTCTTCTCTTCTTTTGGTCAAAGGTGGGCACAACTGTCGCTCGGGTAAACCCTGCTCGACGATCTCAAGACGTAATTCTGCACTTTGATGTAAGTCTGCTGACGACTTGGCTTCCTCTGCCATAACACTCTTACCGGAGTCTTCTAGGGGCCCGTAGCTCCTCAAAGGAGCGTTTGCCATGCTGATGGAATAGCCTTGAGGTAGAGGGAGTCCATAGTGTGGAAGCTTATTTTGCGGATTTCTAATAAATCCATTGTTTTTTTGGGAGGCAGAGATCATCTCTGAACACTCATCTGTCATCAACCCCTCGGCCATTCGAATCGAAGGTCTTGGACTCTGCTGAGTGGGCATCAAACCTTTGATTTCCAATGGAACGCTCTCTGGGTGGTAATGGCGCATTCTGTCAAGTCTTCTGCGCATTACCAGCTCATTCAAATTGTCCGTGGACAAATGTCCAGATGTCAAATGGACATCAGTGTACGAAGGGTCTGTGAGAAGTTTTGTCTGACGGTCTTGTAGCAGGCATGTCGCGCTTTCTGCAGCCTCAAGAACAGACATTCTGTCCTCTTTGGAGCGGTTCAGAGGAGCTGTTTTTCGCTGCAAGGGCCTGAAATCTTCTCTTTCCGACTCCTCCGACAAGTTTTGAGGTATTTCAGAACTTGCTCTCCTTGGCTGCCCAATCCTGTAAGCTTCATAAATCGAACAGTTATCATCTTGGAGGCTGGTCAGGTCAGCGCTTTTTCTCTCAGAATTTGATGCAAACAACTCACTAACTGCATCAATCAGGCTATCTGTTGATACTGGCGAGAATTCGGATTTTTCCTGTGGGGCCATCGAGTCCTTGAGTGTCGAAGGAATCTCCTGTCCAATCTGCCCGAGTAGTTTGGGATGCTGTAACATCGGGCCGATGACAGCGGCACTTTCCATTTTTCTGGGATCCTCATCTTTCTTTGAGCTTGATGATGAATCTTCCGTCATATTATCAGTCTTTGAAGTGCGGTTTGTTGGCTGTTGGACTGGCAGGCTTGGATTGCTGACGCAAGAATTACTGTTACTCTTCTCTTTATTTCCATGTCTTAAACTTGATGGCAATTGGCTCGAGTGAATGTTGTCGTTGATGATCGGTGGCCTAGTCCTAATATTTCCTTGTTTCCAATCCTCTGAGCTTGACGGTGAGTCATCCACCACGTTCTCCACTTCTGAGCATTTTTGTGATTGAAGGTGTGACGGAATTTTCGTAGTGATGGGAACTTCATCGGCCTCCCTTTCGTTTGGTATAGGTTCATCCTCTGCTGACTCATTCTCCTTACAATTGAGCAACCATTCGTTTTGTATAATTGGAGAAGTAGAATGCTTCCAGGGGGGGAGTTCAGTCTTGGAAACACCTGCCGTTGTTCGAAAAAGAGAGCTTCCAAATTGAAGACTGCTGCAGACACCCTCTCGATACCCTTGAGCATCTCTACTGCCCAATTTGATGTCGCCAATAGGTTGTTCGCCACCATCAGCCTTATCTTTCTCTACCATAAGCTTATCTTCTTCTCCTGTAATCTGTAGGGCATGGATCGATCTTCTGCCTCGAGGTACGCTTTCTACGCTGGTTTCCTGAATTTTTGAGTCATGTGCTGGTGCGACGCCTGAACTTCTTGGCGTCGAACCGCTGTCCATCATGTCGTCCTTCATTACAGGTACCCCCCACGTCGTATCCTTCACATGAGATCTATCATCCCTATTTGAGAGAGCTCCAATCTTCTTCTCTTGCACGCAGTTTGTGAAGTCCTCAACAGCTTCTAAGAGAGTATTGTACTTCATAGCCACATTAAATGACAGAATCTCATTTTCTTCGTTCTGTGAAGTTGGTTTCAGCTGTCTAGATGCGCTAGTATTGGCCCGATGCTCCAAATATCTCGAAGAACGGCTTTTCAACTGGGGAGATTTTGAAGTTACTGTTGCCTCTCCTCCTCCGTGAGTTACAGCACCAAACTGTCTCCATGGTATCCTTCCTGTGCTGTTCTCTGATCCCTCGTCAACGAATTCATCTTGAGGGCTAATACCTTCGCAATTCATAACTTCTTCTGATATTTCAGTTGGAATCTCAGCATTGGGCTTGCCTTTCTCTCCGCTTTCTTTTGGTCTCTCATCTAAGAGCTTAGGCTGTCTAAGAAATGTGTGATACTGATTTTCATATCTTTCTCCAACATTATGAACCTCATCTAAGCTCCTCGTGTTAGACATTTCCCCATCCATCTCTATGTCCTCAGTTATGAACGACTCAGAATATGTAGAGTTTGTCCTTCTGCTGTCTAAAGTCTTACAAGGGGTTGATCCCGCTGACTCAGGTAAACACGGATGTGTTATCTGCTTGGGTAAATCTGAAAGAGCCCGATTTGCAGAAAGAGGACAGGACAAGTTAATACTGGCCGTGTCATCAGGCAAAACCCCACCATTATCAGAGCTGCCGATGCACCTCGCAGAAGCTTTAATTGGCTTTTCAGGTGCAATAATTGTGAAAGCAATTTGGTCGCATTCTCGGTCTTTAGCATCGAAAACTGAGTGCTTCGTTTGAAGTTTTGCTCTTGTTCTCCTAATCTCAGCGTCAAGTTTCTGTCAGATTCATAACAAGGATACGTTTGGTAAGACAAGCCTCCCCTTAGCTGCATTGCCGAGTCCATTGAACTGAAAGTGGTGCATGTGAAGTTTTCCTCATACGCTACTGTATCGTAGCGTTTGCTCCTGGCTATTTTGTTGTCTTCATGAAATAGAACTCTCGATACAAGGAGCCTGACTTCCATATGTGCTTGATTATGGAATTTTGATGTACCCTAGGATAACGCGAAGAGCTGTTTCTAAGCAATTAGTGGCCAATTTCGATTATCATTGATTTACTCTTCGCATACTTTACTCCTGAACCCATACTTTACTCCTGAACCGATTCATAAGCATTACAAACCTGCAGCTCAGCCTCTAGTTGATCGCGTCTTGTCCTCAGGTGATACTCTCGATCATTCCCACGCTTTTGCGGCAACTCAGGCCGAACCTCGACCTCGACATCTGAGAGCATCTCTGAATGTTCCTCTGCAGAATTGTAGTTCATGTAAGTAACTTTTAAGATCGACAAGTACATGGAGACTCCCTTTCTCTAGCTGGTCAAATCGTTGCCTTTCTCAGAAGAGTGAGAAACTTTCTCATGTTTTGGCAAAAATATCAATATACACATTGCTATTTCTGTTCAGCTGTGCTAATTCCTAGTGTTTGGTATAATCTTTAAGCTCAGATACAATATACTTGATAGAATTTCTGAGCGTAAGAGCGTTAAAGCAATCTTGAATAGGTCATTTGAATCCCATTAAGCGATTCAACTAGAAGATTGAAACTGTTCACGCGTTGTGGGGTTACGACCAGCAATAAAGGAGGATGATCACAAGTCAGAATCTGGAGTGTATAAACCTCTCTAGAAGCGCTTCAATTTGCACGATGAAACTGCAAGAGAGATTTAAAAGCTTGTAATGGTGGTACCGTGCAGCAAAGAATTTGTACTGTGGGAAACATTCTTCCTGCAAAAAGAAGGGAGTCTGCTAGAAGGTGACGGAGCACTTGAACTTATACTGTATTTTTGCTTCTTGTCTTCATGTCCCCTCCTGGTCCATTCAAAGACAGGTTCGCCACTGCCTAATCGAGCTTTCGTCTCGGAGCACACCGAATCTCCTTCGATTTTAGATTGATCGGTATCTAGTCTACCCAACCTTCCTTCACGTAAATTTATCATGGAAGTTGAGTCTTTGTCCTCCAAGTTTGTGCATCTTGTTTCCTCTACGGGATAAACTGCTGCTGTAAACATCATCTCCTCAGACTGCTCTGTTGGGGAGCTCAGCTTTGTGAGAGTTTCAGCTCCTTCATCTAGACTTCTGCTGCATGTACTTCCTGAAGAGGCTTTCTGACCTTTCTCGGAAGCACTATGCATCTGACTGATGGCCGCTGATGAGGCCCTGGTTGTCTTATTCACCTCTGGCTCAAAAATATGAACATGTTTAAGGGTCTCAGACTTATCATGGCATTCTTCGCTTCCTTCTTGTACCCTAGGATTGTTCCAATTTTGTACTTCAGCCAGATTCACCCCCAGGTTTTCCTTTGACTTTTCCGAATCTAAGCTTCCAGACTTTTCAGCTACTGGGCTCTCGTTCCGCAACCCCAGCTCTTCACCACCCACAATCATCGGTTGAACCTCCACAACAATTCTTTCATCGTCCGTACATTCACCATCAGGCTGAGTCTTGGTCCGAAGACGTCGGGCGTACGTGATTTTCATTGGGGTGAGTGGAACCAAAAAAGTTTGTCTATGTTCTTCCGACAATCCAGTGAAAGCATTGGAATTATCCGCTGTCTTCTTCTCCATCTGTAGAAGTAAGACATAACACCATTTTTGCTAAATGACCAGTGCGACCCTCGTTGCCTCAGATTTATTCCAAGAGAGCACTCTTGGAAAATATTTGTACGAACGAAATGATTTAAGACGGGAACATTCACTGTTCTCTAATAATACAACCTCGCAGCTTGCAACATCAGATTGTCAGAGCGTTGTTCAACTAATAAAATTTGATGTCTGATGTGGACTTATCTAGTTCCTCGGGCTCGCGGTCTCGTCTTCTCAGAAGTAGTAAGGCCTGAGATCGTGAACGAGAGGTCGTAATGGCGTATGACTTGAGATGTAGGCGTTTCTATATAAGGTTCTCGAGCGGGAACTTCTTTCTTAATTGGGAACTCAGATTCCGTCTCGAGGCAGATCCATTTTATTCAGACTCAATCAACCTTTCATAGGTCGATACTCAATTGCAGGTTCTGATAGGAGCAGCAAAAGGTGTACTTACAGAAACCTCAATCTATATCAGACTGATGGATGGATGGCATTCACATGTTTAGAAAGCAACTAGGATAGAGACATCACCTTACCTCTGAAAATGTACCTCCACTCAAGTCTGCCGAAGTTTTCTTAAGTTCTCGGTCGTCTTTTTGTGTCTCGAATCTGCACGTATCCAATGAAGCTCAGAGCAATGACGGAAAACGCCACTCAGTTCCGTGGGGAGAAAATAATAAAGACATGTACAATGTGACTATGGACATCATTATGATGGGGCCTTCACAAGAGCTGTACAATAAAATGAGAACTAAGGACTGAAGAACTGAAGAAACTACAAGATTGAAACCACAGCAAGATTTTCGGTTTATTCACATAGATCCAAATTTTTTTCTATTTGTAGTTTGTTCACATTGACCCGGATTCTTCAACCTCACGTAGCTAGGTGCTTTCGCCTATTCATTGGTGTTGTGAACGTAGACAAAGCGATTGCAGGCATAAGCAATTAATTTGTGTTACCTGAGGTGGAATGATGTTGGCGAATGACAAACCTTCAAATCACCAATCTGCACGAGCATCCTTTCAGACTTCTTCTGACCTGGAACACCTGAAACACGTATACTTTCTCTGTGGTCACATGGTAGAGATTTCACATATCTGACAGTTGTCTAGAATATGACAATAGTACATCACATTCACAGGAAAAGTAATTGCTCATTTTCTGCCGCGCATCTTAAATCGTTCATATTATGCAGAAATACTCCTTCAGTTCTTGTGTTGAGTTTACTCGTTGTTTTGCTGATCATGTGCATCCCGAATTCGGAATCCAACATACTCTACTTGAAGAGTAACCCAGTGAAGTTTCACTCCAGGTTTACTGGTGCGTGAATAGTATAAAACGGCCAACCTCTTTTTGAGGTTGATGCTCGCAGTCCAAGAAATAACTCGATTCGGACATACGTATTTGACCTAAGCCTGCATCAGGTTATCATGAGGTTGTTTAGAGTTGAAACAAACAGCGCTCCTGAAAGACGGTTACCTGCCATTTCCTTCTCTTGACAGTTCTCGTCTTTCGTCGGATTGACACCGATTGTAGCCATAGATTCGCCAAGAGGTGATGGTGTCTGTACGACGTCGATATAATCAACAGTACTGTCTTGCATGATGTTCCCAACCGGCTCTCTGAGATCATTCTCAGGCAGTTCTGTGTGTACGCCAGACGAGTCAGCAGATTTCGTGGATGTAAGGCAATCTGCCTCCAAAGATTTGATATAACGGTCTGACATTTCCAACTCACTACACAGTGGGGCTGATCCGAATTTGAATCTATGCTTCTCTGGTGCATGTTCCTGGAGTGGTGTACGTAATCTCAACCTAGGACATGCGTTCTCCTCGAATTCATCTTGACCAATGTGTGTTAAGTCACACCTCTCTTTATTCTTCTTCTTTTCCCTCGAAAGCCAATGTTGTGTGTACAAATTTATGACACTGTGAATGTCCTCCTCTGCAGGCAACGTCCAAGCTTCCTTTTGCCTCTTTCGTGCCTGCTCTTCCACATTCTTGTTGCGCTTAATTCTCCCGATGTAAGACTTCGCACCCGTCGGTAAAATTACTGGGCTACTTGAATCGGTGGAAGGGGAGGATGGACCATAACTGGAACATCCAGAGGGAATGTTATCGGTACTCATTCCCTTGTCAACCATGTTCCAGTCACGGGGAGATGTTTCACTGCCTGGAACATTTTCCAGCTCTAAAGTGTCTACTGTGACAGGGTCTCTTATAACCTCATTCACGCTGGGAACAACTTCTGATATGTGTTCAGCATTTCGCAATTCGACAATTTCACAACCTGCTTGTTCTGATTCACTAAGATGCCCATGATGAAGGATGTCCGGCTGAGGAGAGTGACTACAAATTTTCAGCTCTACTTCCAGTGGTTCATCTGTGCAACAGTACCCAACCTGCTGATTCAAAGGCTCATGGTCAAGATCCATATGAGCTTCAAATGTCGACTCCGACACAATCTGATGAGTGGTTTGAAGCTGCTGCTCAGCGCAGGCTGCGTCCACGCGCTTCACCAGCTGTTCTGCCAAACTCCTCAGCATTTGCATCCTTTGCCTTCTTATAGTCCGGGTAACTTCCTTGTTTATATCGGACTCTACAGTACTTGAGTCCTGCCTCCAGGAACGAAGATTGTTCATAGCAGGTTCTTCTCTCAGATCTTTGTAAGAACTGAGGGACTCTTTCATTGTCGTTAGATTTCTATCTCTATGCATTTCCTGAGCCTTCGCGTCGTCTCTCAAGTCCTTACGAGGACTGAGCGACTCATTCCTCGTGTCTTTCAGATTTCGTAAAATGGTTCCGTCACCCAGGTGCTTAGTGGGACTGAGCGACGAATACCGACTGTATTTCCTTGGGTTTATCGTACCTGGTGAATCAGATTTTCTGATCCTACTGGTTCTCTCCTGTCTAGAACCAGGAGAAAGCCTCGACTTCATGAGTTTCGCTATGTCTTGCAGCGATGGTTCCTTGGACTTAACACCCCCATGTCCTTTGACTTGCCTCAGATGATAATATTTTGGATTCAAGTCGTTTTGCGGTGAGCTGATTTGTGCTGCAGCCGGAGCAGACGTTGGCTTATGTCGCTTGACCTTGGACCCAATGCAGAAATCATCTCCATGCTCCTTAAGAGCAGCAATTGCGTAACAATCATCCCGTTGGAGGATGTTAGTAAACCCCTTCTGAAAACAGCTCTTACTGCGCTTCTGCATTCGAGCTTCTCTGGATTCTCTGCATTGACTTCCAGTGAGTGCTGTACGTGAGCTCCTTCCAGTTCTCCGGTAAGCCAGCAAATCAACACTTTTGTGCTGGCAAAGATAACATGCGCGAACATGATTTTAGCATGCACATCTCGGTTGACCACTGTGCCAATGCTAATTGATTTACATTAAGTAAAACGCGGACCTCCTGTAATCCTCTATCTTGTCTTCCACCCACCCACTCGGGTTTAGAATGCATGTGCGTCTGGCTAGCTCTGAGGACCACATGCAGCTTGCAGTTCAAAACGTTCAAAGGTGGACAATATTTCTGTCCCCAAGACATCGTACAGAACAACAGAACAAACATCGGAAACAGTGCATTGTCGACCTCTTTACAAACGGTTGCCTGAATCGCATTTCCCTTGGTCCACTACAAACTTTTTCTGACAGCGCCTTTATACTCTTGTAGCGTGAGCGTAGTGGTTAATCAGACTTTGATTTCTATTCCTCCTTTGATGTTACACCTCCAAAGATGAGTGCGATATAGACACAAAGAGCAGTTACACGAAACCGGTGAGATGGTTAGCGTGAAGAAGAATATATACCGAGGCATACTTTTGTGGCAACTGGAGCTGGTAAATCGTCTCGGGAATGAACCTTTTGAGAGACTTTCCCTTCGACTTCCATCTGGCTTTTTTGGCGAGAGGGACCTTCTTTTGAGTCGGAGTGCGAGTCTGGGGATGCGAAGCATGAGGTCGATGCGTCCGAGGAAAAGCAAGCTCGTACATATCTGATGTCATGTTCGCTCCCTGTAGCTGTTTTTCTCCTTTCCTCGTTTTGATCTTCTCGGATCCTCTCTTCTTTGCCAACTGCGAGAAGCTCGATCTATTACAACCTTCTCCGAGAGTGGACTGTTGTGCGGCTTCGTAAGTCGAAATGGACGTGTATAGGTCCAATGGCACAGGTTCCTGGTTTCGCGGAACCTTGGGAGGAGGCAAGTCACCTGTTGAAGCACTCGACCAAGGGCGAAAAGTCTCAGCAAGTGTCACGTACTCTGATGTCCAGGGTGGTCTGGGGAATGTTTTTTGCTTGGCCTTGACGTCAGCAGCCTGTCTGTTTGCAAAGACAGCGGAGTCAAACGATTTGTGCGCAACCAGGAGTCATAAAAGTCATACATTCTCACTAGGCCACTGTATTCAGACGAGTTTCGAGCTACCGAGTCCCTCGTCACGTTGTAGGATCAACAGCAACAATCAACTGACAGCAGAACTGTAGTGAACATGAATCAAACATCATCTTGCAATATTTTAATATCATGTTTCCAGTCAAGTTGGCTTTGTGGCTCCGAGCCGAATGGTTATAATCGTGCGTGAGTAACGACCTATTGTAGTCAACAGAGACAGATTGTCGGCGGTTTTATGGGTTGTGAGCTCCTCGAACGAGTAAAGGATTCTTCCAGCACTCTCACGGCCTTTGAAGCTGATCTTCTCAGCCGGTTACGGGTTGTAACTTCCTCGACCAAGCAAAAAAGGATTCCCAGGCAGTCTCGGCATCTGTCGTCCCCCATATCAAACTGTCATGCGATCGCCTTGCTGACCAGCGTGTCGAACACGGTGATAAACACTTCCCGATGAGCTTAACCGGGCTTTGATGTACGTGCTTTATGACAGCTCCTTTAATTAGGTTTAGAACGGGGTTTTGTGGCGAACTTGAACTTACGATCTGAGCAAGGCTTGGCATTCCAGGTCCAGCTTCCGCTGCTTCTCCTTGAGGGCGGCGACGGCAGCCTCCGCTCGTGCCTTCTGCTTCTGCCTCTCGTGCCTCTGCTGCGCCAGCTTCGTCTCCATGTATTTCTTCACCTAGAGATCAACGTACTAAGTGTTAGGTGGGGGTCATCCACCCACGAAGGGTGCTCCGTCGTCATCGACGGGAGTGCAAGCCCGGAGGTGACCAAGTCAAAGTGGATAAGCTTGACTCAAGCATACATTCCCGTCGGAGCCATGGGATTTACCTCGAAGTGCTTCTTAGGGTCTACTGGGGCCTTTCTTTTGCAGGATATGGTGTCGGTCGGTTTGAGCTCTGTGGATGTACGCTTTTTCATGCCATGCCTCCAGGGCTTCGCGTTCAGGGCGTCACTTTCGTATCTCGAAGTGGATACGGCCGGGGCAGAAGCCGGCCTGCGCACCTCCCGTTTCTGATCGACGCCGGAAGATGTGAAACCAACTGATTTCGAAGACGGAGCAACCTCGTCAGCGGTGGCCCCTACGTGGTTATCCTTCTGGTCCGTGCGGGGATTTGGTTGGATGGGAGATGCGGATTCCCGAGACACGGGATCTCCCGTCTCATCTCGGGGGGACTCCGATTTGCCGACGTCCAGGCTTTCTGGTCTCTTTCTCTTCACGTTCTTCACCTTTGGAGCCCTTGGAGCCCTCGGTGCCCGACTATCTTCCGTGTCGTAGCCACTCCAGGTCGCCTCCGGACAGCTGCGCCGCGCGTCCCTCCTCGTCAGTCTCGGATTGTTGTTGCTTCCGTTACCAGAATGCAAGAGTTCTTGGATCCCGAATTCAATCGCTCGTTTGATCCACCCACCCTCCCCACGGTCTTGCCAGTCCTCGGAGCCACCTCGAGAAGGCCCTCTGCTCCACTGCTTGATGGGGCTCTTGAACACTTCCAACTCCGATGGCGCGTTCTGAGCTATCAGCGTCACGAGTTCGGGACTGATGTAATCCGGCATGGGATCCTCGTGGCTTTTCGAAATCCCTGAGACATGAGGCTTGGATTCTTTGAAGTTTCTGCTCCAAATGCTCGCCCGGGCCCTATAAACCTCGCTCGTCATCGAGTCGAGTCAACGTATCGGGCTTTCACTCCGCTTTGATCACGCCACTGTGATCCGGGTGATACTCCTCAGATTCTTTACGATATAGACGTACTTTACACACAATCCTCAATTCGTACGATTCTCATCCCATTGCTGCTTTTCCGTCTGCTCTTCAACTGATTCGACGCAGCACGATGTTGCTACACATCTGGCACGAGTTTCTGTCACGAAAGAGCCGTAGTATACACCCGCATTTCTAGCGGGTAGTCAATGTTCGCACCAAGAAGGCCAAAGCAACCGAGTCAAGCTCGGCTGCGCGGTATTGACCGCGAACAAGGGGTTGCCAGCTTTGTCAAATGACAACCACATCCGACAAATACCCACAGGTACCGAAAATCTACTCTCGAAACTTGCAAACTCTTTCTGATCAAATCCCCGACTGACCTAAGAAGAATAAACCACTGGCATTTGCCGTGTTCCTCCACCACAGCCTCTCAAAATTTTGCACATTTTCAAAGGCCACTGAGCTCTTGTCCACAATTACCTCTACAACACAGTGGCACAGCTTCTTCGACCACGAGCACGAAAATTACCGTCTCATCTAGTAAGAGAGAATAGAATAGGTCGGCGTGGAGCTCTCCGGTACAGCACTGACTCATGTTATTGCCTGCAAAGTCCCGATTCATCGAATCAATGGAAAATCTACGGTTTATAGGCCTTGACAGCTTCCACAACTTGCCTCGTAATCTGTACAGTTACGGTATACCTCGGACGAAGGGCTCTTCGATTGCAACCCCGCTCTCTTACAGACTCTGCAAAGTCTCCTTCCAGTATGAACTGCGAAGTTCTCATCTCGCAAATCATATCTTTCTACAGTCCTCTCTTCTCTCCTAACTTCCCCCGACCAATACTCGGTCCTTGCGGTTAGGGTCTCGAACACAGCAAGATTTTCTTCGGATCGGCTTTTCTTGGGCCGTGTCCTCGCGTAGAAGATAACCATATTCTTGCCTGCGTCTCGATCTGTCTCGTGAATCATCGGTTGACGCAATCGTGCCCATTTGACTGACTACATCGATCAACCTCTCTATTTCTCGTTCGTGCGTGTGGCCACTAAATGTGCTTGAATGTGAGTGAGTGCACAACTAGCCCTCGTTTCCATCGCTCCTCACTTCTACGAAGCCAGTCGTGGTCACCTTCATGCTTCAAAATATTGGTTTCTTTTGCTTCGCTCGTGCAAGGGCATCGGGAAATAGAAAATAGGGCTCTATGTTCTCCCATGTTCATTTGTCTTTATGTACTGTTGTTGTTCAGGTGTTTTGCTCTTATTCATGTTCTGCATGTTTTCTCCGGTGCTCTATGCAGACCACTTACGATGATGGTTATGGTTCTCGGTTCTGCGAGCTTAATCTGCAGTGTGGAAATATAAAATGATCAACTGCCTTCAGGATATGATGGCACAGCTTATTAATGAGCATGAACAAGAAAGGAAAGTATCAGAAATGATTGGCCTTCTTTTTCTCTCTTCTTGATACTAGCCTGTGAGCATTTTATTTTCACAAGAGGGAGTTTTTGCAATAGCTGTATTGTATGAAGGGTGGACAATGCTCAGGGCTTGAGATCACCCACTATCCGCAACGCTCATCATGGTTAAGAATTTGCACTTTGTATTTGAAATCAAATATTATTCTAAAGTAGATATCAAGGCTGACACACTCATAGAAAGGCTACTAAAATTGGGAGGAGTCAAATGAGATGAAAAGTCACGCCCTCTCCACACTTCTCACGTGTTTTCCTCGGCATGTTAGAATCGTGCCCCTGAGTATTGATATTTCTTGGTTGCCCTGGCTATCGGGATGCGCTTTATTTATACCTTCTAATTCATTTATGTGCTGCACTTAACAGAACGCCCTTATTGACATAATAAGCTCTCATTCTTGTCATATTGAGGTGCGGTGTTGTAATTAGCTTTACCGTCTTTCCAAAAGCAAAGGAGGCTCGACCCTTTCTTCTGAAACTGAAGGGGTCATGTTGTCTTAAGCACGCTTCATGCTTGAACTGAAGCATCCCTTTTAAAAAAATAGAACAAATAACTGGATAGGATGTGTTTTAGTTAAAGCTTCCGCTCCTAATTACATTATATGGGGCATACACTATTAATTAATGATATGGTGAAATTTTTCAAAATTGGTGAAGTTTGAGGGGGACTCGGTAGAGCAAACATTTCTCCAAATTAAAACCAATGAGAGTGAGTCAACTCCTGTTTAAACTAAAGGGCGCGCTACAGCTAACGTGACAATTTCTTCCTGCTACTGAGAGTTGGTGTATGGAGCATAGGATTGCTTACGAAACTTGAAGGCCATTGTGATCAACAAATATCTTTACACTACGCATTATGAATGTAGTAATTATATAAGGCTAACTGTTCACTATGAACCTTGGCGGTTTGTTCAGGAAGATCATGTTATTTTAACGATGTCGAATCAACATTCTTTTACTAACCCTAAACATTGGTTAAGAATTCATCAGACGTTGAATGTTAGAAGATTGGTATTAAGCTATTGTTCATTTAGACCACACTCACATGCAATTTGTCATTTTCAAGAGGAAATATTCAACTAATGTTGTGATGTGTATGACTTTCTTGGTGTTTTATCAGTTATTTTACATACCTTCCGAGCTTGACCCTTGTAACATTCATGGGCGAATAGTCAATAATCATTCCGCTAGAAAATTTGTTTGCCCAATTTTTTTTGTGCAAACTGTGTGGGATTGGAGTAAATTTCCTCCATTTGACTTCTTTATTCTATCTCTAATAGAAGAATTTCAATTTTTACTCCACAAAGAAAAATTTCTGAAATGTCTTTATGTATTAGATTAACTATATCGAGATTATATTTAATGCGATGGAACTTTGCTAACATAAGCGGCTGCTATTCTTTCAAGAAATTGGTATATGTAAAAAATTTCTAAATAATACACTCACAACCGTCAATAATATTTAAAGCTTGTATTCATACAATCTCATTCACCAGAAATGTATATAGCATATTTAACTAGTTTTGCATAATAAATCTATTAATCGATCTATCGACTTCATAATTATCCAAGTGTAAGGTGAATAAGACAAGGTGTATCAGTGTCCAAGTTCTCTAAAAGAAGGACCTTGCAAGTTTCGTAATTGCAAAAACCCTCATCAGCTCGAACTCAAATGACTTGACGCATCGAAATCAGTAGAAGGTATTGTTTGACTCAGATAATCTAATAGGGAAGAAAAGATTTGTACAACCTTCGTGGCATGAGTCTAATATTATTCATAATAGGAGTCCTTTGAACAGTTGACAATTGTAAACAACAGGAATTGTTCAAATCTCGTTGTTAAAATGAACTTCCATTCATATTGTCCCTTGGAGCACTAGAGTATATTTTACTTCTGAGCATTTTGTTTACGACAGGAGGTTATCAGATTTATCATGATCACCGTAGAGGAACTCTTATAATTTTGAATAATTAATTTTTAAGTAAAACCTACTTGAATATGAGCAACAACAGAGGATTATACGTATGGTATGGTATATATCAAACTAGAAGAACATATAAGTCAAATGAGTACTCTGCATCTGCACATGAAACTTTCATGGCTTTCGAATTTGTTACAACTCATGCTAAATAGTGTCTGACCGGAAGTTTTTGTCTTCAAAGCTATTATTAGTTTCTTAAGAACATATCAGTAGTCTAAAACTATCCTCCACCTCTGATTTTCCTTTGCTTTCTTCACCTACCTTCTACGACTGTCTTCACCATGACGTTACTAACGCAGCATTTTATTTTGTACTAATTCGACGTTTATGGAACATATAATACTCCTCAGTTCTTGAAAGTCATTCTTATGACCAGATGTACTGATGTATACCGCCTCTTGGACAAAAGTACATACCTAGTGTTGGTGTCGTTCATAGGTCGTTTTCTACGTTAAGTAATGAACTTCTTCAGACCATTATAAAGATGTTACATAAATATTTAGAACTTATGACTATGCTGCAACATTTGTAAGACAAGTTTAGGTGGTTCAGTACAACGGTTCGCAGCAATCCGTTCGGTACATGGAGAAACTGAAAGTTAAGGTGGTAAATGGAACAAATCAGTTGTGGTTGACAAGTGACATACTAGTTGTTGGTTTTGTTTATATTTGCTCGTGGGTGCTATCATTCTTGCTAAACATACCCAGCAGATAGCCATAAAAGGTGGACATAGAAATGAAGATGCGTGTATTGCGAGGTGAGCTAGTGTATAAGCCTAATCTGTCCACACCTGTCAAGAACAAAGAACCTCATAGAAGGCAAAAGTTATCCACGTCAAATGAATCCAGCAGGAAGTTCAAAATCGAAGCACCAAAGTATTCGAGACTTGTAAGGGAGTACGATTCACTCTCGAAAGCTACTGGCAGAAGTCTGGAATGCTTTGTTCATGCGACGATACGTGTATATAAGACTATATACAGGTTCCAGTTGATTGAAATTGTAACATTGCACTACGTGAGATGTGAGATACTTCCATGTGGCAGACTATAATAAATATCCTCCTTCTACAGATTCCTCAGATATGAAGATTCCGTAGCGTTGTGATTTTCGAGTTTCAGAAGTTATGCAGCACCATCTTAGTAGAAATTGATTCATATTGAATCTTGGTTACCCTTATTAATATGATGTCGCTTTGGTATTTCCTACGGGCGAATTCTCAATAAATCATTGTATTAGCAGGTCCTTTCAATGACTATTTTCATGTGCACTTAGAATAGTGGGAAATATTTTCGGACACCTTTTTCTTATATGAAACACCAGTTAAACGCTTTGGACGTCCTTGAAGTTTCAGAAATGGCATAGAGTAGTTAAAATTTGGAATTCCTCCCAAATCGAAAGAATTGCATGCCGATATCTCAGGAAGAGAGTTTTATGGGTTTGTAAAGTGGCTGCTTATATATCTTTGTACTCATTGTATTTGGATATATTCATCTATATCGTTGCGATGTAGAGAAATCGATTGCACTGTCATCGGGAAACATGGTCAGATCTTTTCACAACAGGATTGCTACGCGTGAACTAAGAACACGTAGAGAATCAAGTAAGTGTGCTCGTGATCTGCTAGTGTATAACTTGTCATCACCAATCCAACTTTGCTTGATTGATCTCTTTTCTGCGATTTGAGGAAGAAATAAATTGTGGGTTGTAAGCTGTTCATTACGATTCTTTCTCCCAGAAAATCCGGATGTTCCGCAGTATTATGGTTTCCCCATACATTATAATATTAAACATCAAAATCTCACGATGATTTTCCACATGTCTAAGGAACATACTGTTCGTTGTCTTCCAAGCTTTTATAGTCTTTTCTGAGTTTCCATTCAGCTCTGCCCACCCCAATATATATATGTCAATCGTATGTACGCACTGCGTTGGTTTCATCCACACATCGTTTAGTGTCCTCTCCAAAGTTTGTGATTTGAGGTTTATTACATCACATGTAGCAGTAGGTAGTTAGGGAAGAAATTCACATATTCAGAAATGATTGAAGCTTCTGCACTTTATTGACCAGAATGAATCAGAAAAATATATGTTCGCATCAGCTCTTTTACGCAGACTCTCGGTCCACCGTTGTAACATGAGTCTGAGATTTCTGACTTCCCACAGGTAAAGGTGCGTGAAACTCACGTTTGAATTTGTCGTCATGAGAGTGCGGAGGATGAAAAAGTCGGTGTATAAACTATGGACGTAAGTGGGACAAACTTCTGAGATCAAAAGCTGGAAGAAAATATTATATTTTACTGAAATGGAATTTTACACTAACCCCATGGACTATAGTGGCACCTGTTTTAGTGGAGGATAAGATGCGAGCTGTCAGTCATGTTTATGTGTGTGCGCAGGTCCTATCCATCCATCGCCTCTCGTCTCCATCATGGACAACAATCTTTTTGAACAGAATGAGTGCAGTGGGAATCTATCGAAAACTGAATAATAGAATCGCAATGCTGTGCCCCTGCTAATGTAACTGCAAAGTCAGGAGAGAAGAGGCGAGGAGAGAAGAGGAGAGGGACTCAGTCAAAGAGCAGAGCCTCCCAGCACATCCCTATCTCACACTCTCTCTCTTCCCCAACCAACTGCTCGTCCAGTAAGCACTGCACCCGCCTCTTTTCCTTTTTAAATACTGTTTAGTCTGGATGTAAGAACAAACATGCGAAATCAGTTTTTTCTTTCGGAATATCTGTAAAATATAGTATAAAAAGTCGATATTTCGATCGTAACTGCTACGTAATAGGCACGTGTTAAAATAATCCGCAGAAGTCTTCGAGGAATGAACTTACCTGTGTATCTCGCGATCTCTGGTATAATGCATTCGATGACGCCGGAACGGAACGGAGCGAGGAGGAGGAGGAGGAGGAGCAGATAGAGGCAATCATCAAATGAAGCTGAATTGTTTATGGATTGCAAATCTGAATCCGTCTCGACCACTTAAAAAGTCGACCCTATGACACAGTATCACATTTCCTATTAATGGAGGACACCCTCCCTCTCGTAATGTCTGAATGCTACGAATAACAGAAACGCAGGGATCGAATTCTTCGCTGTCACGGAATGGACCTTGATTCCCGAAGTACACACTCAACTGTTGGGTCCGATGACGAGTTCCGCAGATACACCTTTTATTAAACATTATTTTGATTCGGCTCGGATCGATGGAGCTAAAACAGGCAGATCTAGCAGACGGGCAGCGAGTAGAGTAGAGTAGAGTAGAGAGAGAGAGAGAGAGAGAGAGAGAGAGACGAGGGGTGGGGGCTGTACAATTTTATACGAACAGAAGTGGAGCGAGGACAGAGGGAATAACTAGGGAGACTTCAAACGGAAACATAATCATATCTTTACGGCTGATGATCAGCGATTGATTGAGTGGAATTACCACAAATGTCTCCCAGGCCCCGCAACTCTCCAACAAGCAAATAGTGGCAGAATATAAAAGTGGGGGCGCTAGGGGCCTACCGGAGCGCTGCTTAGATATTTGTGACCCCCCCAAAATGGGTGCAAAGCCAGCAGGGATCAACGTAATGCACAAGGGATTAAGAAAGGCGCAGAAGTCACAAGATTAACGAGCGGCCAATGAGCGGCGCCGCTCGGCCATTTTGTCCACTTAGCCCGGGGCAAGAGATCCAAAGAGGTGCGTCAGCCGACGTGGCCGGTCCGACGTGGCGCCGGGCTAGCATGCCGTAGATGGCCCCGGAGAAAGCACGTGTCCGGAGGCCATGCGAACCGAAGCCCCGCCCGCGCTCGACAACTCTAGGTTTAGGACCCTAACCCTTGCGGTTAGCGCGGGGTTAGTCCGCCTAACACCCCGCCTCACCCTCTTCTTCCGTTTGTGTGCCAGCAGCAGCGGCAGCAGCAGCACCCGCAGCTGCTGCTGCTGCGGGGGCCTCCCCCTCCAGCTCCTCCTCTCCTCTTCCTCCTCCTCCTCCTCCTGTCTAGTAGAACTGCAGCGCAGCGCACAGGGCCCCTCCCCCACCTCTCTCCCTCTCCCTCTCTCTTCCCCTCCCCTTCCCTTCCTTTCGCTTCGCTTGCTTTGCCGCACCCGGCGCAGCGCCCAGCAGAGCACGCACAGCGCGACCCGCGAGGGGGGGCCCTGGGATGAGTGGACATTCGATTGATGCGATCTGGACGTCGTGCTGCTGCTGCTGCTGGCCTCGGATGGTGTCTGAACAGGTCTGACGGATTGACGGATTGCTGGACCGAGGACGCCCGATCGCTCGTATGAATGAATCGCACTCCCGGCGAGACAGCGACCGAGCGAGGCGCAGCACCTCGATTCACAATTGAGTGAGTCTGAGTCTGGCGATTTGTCGAGCCTTAGAGGGAGCGAGAGACAGAGAGCGAGCGAGCGAGCCAAGGTGACAAGGGTGGAGTGAGGTCGATTAGGTTCGTGGCCGGGCTGGGACGGCGAGCGTTCGATGCGTGTGGGGCGAGACTGTGGTCTGAGGAGGTGAAATTCGAGGGAAGGAGTAGGATCCACGCCTTCTGTGCGGAGCAGATGAAGAAACGGTGCGCCTGCTGCGAGGAGCTTCTCACAGGACCGGTCTGGATGGAGTGCGTGAGTGAGCGTGCGAGTGCCTGAGTTCGGGGCTCGTGTCATCGGATTTGCGTGGGGGATGACTGCGTCTGTCGTTCCTCTGAGCAGGTCATTTTTTATGTGTATGTGCACATTTGGCACCACCCGACGCTCTGCGATTCGCTAGCGCGACGGGCGTCAAGCCTGAGCTCCTCGTCGAGAAGCAGGTTCAATGACTCTGTATGGACTGAATCTCAGCAATGTCTGCAATCAATTGTGATTTTTATCACGTGAAGTTTTTATCTTTTTAAGGAACTTCTGGGAACTCGAGGATTTGTTGATATCATCAGCCCCTCTCAATTGAGGTCATTCCTCCATTTCCTTCACTTCAAAATCCATATCCAGACTGGGAATTTCGGGCCATGGAAATCAATTGAACTTCTCTACTGGTCGGAAAGTAATGTGCATCAGGAACGCGTTGAAGACTATCAAGGATACGGCGTTTTATCAAGCTGGAATACCTAGATCTTTTTCTTTTGTTGGCTCTTCCTTCTCCCGATTTAGATTCAGAGGCTGGCAGCGTTAGATTAAACGCCCGAGATGGCGTTCCGACAAGCTGGGGCCTCACGGCGGAGGGTTGCGAGTAAAATATACCAGACCCTCGGCGAACATTCTGTGGTGCCAAATCCACTTTGGAACACATTCTCTCAATCTAAGTCCTCCTATGCTGATGGACACTCTTTTATCAGACGTCACTACTCTGCGTCCGAATATTTTTTGCATCGTCGAGATTCAGAGGACGGGTCCACTCAGCCGCGATCCTTGGAGGAACGAAAGGAATTTTCTTACAAGAGTTTTACTGGAACTGGCGTTCCGCATAGCCGAATCTGGCCAGAGTTCGCAACAGCTCCGGGGTTAAAGCAGGCTAGAGGGGTGAGTTTCGATCCGCTGAGAAGTAGATTGTTCTCTTCACAGACTCGCGTATTGTATGGTCCCTCTACTTCATCAGCCAGTGCTGCCGCTCCCACTTCTTACCAGGAAGATGAGGACGCTCAAAAGACAAAGAAAGCGGAGCCTTCTGCCGAAGAATGTGATCAAGCCGTCGTTGGATTGAGCTCTGCAAAGGCCAAAGTGAAGCAGAATCAAGATGTTGCAAAAAAGAGTGACGCAAGTCAGTCCCAAGGGCTTGTAAAAAAGTTTTGGAGCGTGATTTTAGGGATCGTGCCTGCTATTAGAGCAATATTGGCTATGAGCAGGTTTGCCATCGGTCTCCTCACTGTGGATTAGTGCTGTTGCTTGTGGTGTATGTATTATCCCATTTCGCTTTTTTATCGTTCAGATTCACTTAATCGAATTAGGGTTAGGGTTTAAGATGAAGGTCATTGAATCCTAAATAGTCCGTGCGAAAGAAGAAAATTCTGTTCGAAATCTGATTAGTTTTTAATGCAACTCGGTTCTTGTTCTGCAGGGAGGACTGGTCGAAGAAAATATCTGGATGGAAAAAACACATTTGGCAGGAATTGCAGCATTATTGGTTAGGGACCAAACTTCTGTGGGCAGATACGCGCATCTCTTCAAGGCTGCTATTGAAACTTGCTGGAGGAAAGAGCCTGACTCGTAGGGAAAGACAGCAGTTAACGAGAACAGCAGCTGACATCTTTAGGCTGGTGCCATTCGCTGTTTTCGTTATTGTTCCTTTCATGGAGTTTCTGCTTCCGGTTGCTCTCAAATTGTTCCCAAATATGCTCCCTTCCACGTTTCAGGACAAGATGAAGGAACAAGTAAGTTGTGCATCCACTAGGTTTTCGATGCTGAAGGCCTGCACGCTTCTTGTTGAGAATTGTAGTCTCATCTTTCAAAGGTCTTGCATATCGAATACGGTTTATGATGCTTCTCGCAACGTTTGTAAGATCTCTTCTTTCTCAGGTACTGCCTCTGTTCTGAAAATAGAGCTGCCTTCAATGTGTTTGGGTTTTTCTCAGGAGCAACTCAAAAAGAGATTGAATGCCAGGATACAGTACGCTAAATTCTTGCAAGATACTGTTGGAGAGATGGCCAGAGAGCTCAAATCCACGCGTAGCGGAGAGCTTCAGAGAACAGCCAACGATCTGGACGAGTTCATGAATAAGGTCTCCTGTTTATTTCTGATGTTCTTGTTTGAAGCGGCTCGAGACCGCTCAGTATTTGTCTTTGAGTGACATGCGAGAAGGGCTTTGTTTTCCTGCCAGAAGTTGGAGTGAATATGTTTGATTTCGATTATGTAAGCATCACCGATTTTTCCAAAAGGCATGCGACAGGTGAAGAATATTGAAAAAGTTTTAGGCTTCGCAATATGTAAAGTTGCGTTTGTGTGAGACTGAAATAGCCCTCTTCTCTCTCCTTCCTTCAATTGGGCAGGTTCGAACTGGAGGGGACGTCACCAATGACGAAATACTGAATTTCGCGAAGCTTTTTAATGATGAACTGACCTTGGACAATATCAGCAGGTCAGAGGAAGTCGTTGGTTGACACTTTGTACTTAAGCTCTCACATTTCCATCTTCCAATTTTCATATCAAGCGACAAGCTGCGAAAAGTTGATGTAGAACACGGGCAGTGTTGTTCGATAGAGACTGTAAAGGTCGGGAATGACATTGGTGAGTTGAATGCAGGCCAAGGCTCGTCAGCATGTGCAAGTACATGGGCATCCAGCCCTACGGGACTGATGCTTATCTCCGCTACAGCCTTCGGACAAAATTGAATTGGTAAATTTGTCGTACACTCTTGTTGATTGATCCCGACGTGCTAAAACTTCGAGAAGGAATTTGACTTTCACACCTACGTTTAAGTCCTGTAAAGTAGTAATGAAACTATCTAAGAGTTTCCTTGATTAGCAATGTGACCATTTTTCTTCATGTATTCTTGATGCAATCAACTTAGTTCTGCCACAGCAGAAGCGGTCTTATCAGCTAGGTCTTGCTTCAAATCTGACTTCATGTTTACCATGGCTCACGGGTCTTGCAGGATCAAAACTGATGATAGAATGATCCAATCTGAAGGTGTAGAATCATTGTCAGAGTCCGAGCTTAGGGCGGCATGCAGAGAGCGAGGAATGCTGGGTTTGTTATCAGTGGACGAAATGAGACAGCAGGTGTGTTTTTGTGCCCTAAGATTCTCCTGTGGTATTTGAAGTTATCATTTGACGGGAAGTCCCTTAGACGGTCCAATTTTACCCTTTTCACTCTACTTTTTTTGTTAGTTCTGCAGGGTTGGCCATCATTCGGGCAAAATTTTATTTTCCGTTGTATGATTTGCAAATGGCACCTCATTCAGTCTGAAAGCCTCGTAATGACTCCTTTTGTATGTATGTGCAGCTAAACGACTGGCTTGACCTTTCTCTGCAAAAGTCTGTGCCATCTTCGCTGTTGATTCTGTCGAGGTATTCCTTCCGTGACAGTATCGACACTATCCTTTAAAGAAGCAGATTTAACACTTGTGGAACGTCACTCGATCATTTTCAAATGCCTTTGCATGCAGTATATGTGGCCATCGCTTGTCTTCACCTAGAACATTATCTTCCTTCCTTTCTTATCTCAGGATAATTCAGAGCACTTATGGTCCGTGTCACCGTCTCGCAGAGCTTTCATGGTGTCAGGAAGGATTCGGCCTGAAGAGGCGATGCAGGCCACTCTTTCATCTCTACCTGACGAGGTGGTGGATTCTATCGGCACTGTATCTGCTGCTGGTGAAGATGCATTAGCAGAGCGCAAACGTAAACTGGAGTTCCTGAAAGAGCAAGAAGCACTCATTAAGGTCACGACGACATATTCCCTTGCTTGTTTGTCTGATGTAGATATCAGAGGTACTCAGATTGTTGTACGACTGCATCTATGCATCAAGGTCTGTCGAGATTATGTCCTGATCTGTGCACCACAAATGAACATCTGAGTCTCTAAGTAAAAAACTGACACCTTAATCAGCATTATCACTATGTCCACAGAAAGGTCATGACATGCGGGCATTTAAGTAAGAATGAAATTTTATTAACAAGACCGCCACCCAACGATACTCTCTTGAGAAAATTATTCTACTCAAGTTAAGTTTCTGAATTTACTAAGAGGAGCATTAATGACTTTCCTCGTTTGGTGGACTTGATGTATCCCTTACCTCCTTAACAAAGTTGGAGGTGTAGAGGAAATTTGACTGTTGACGGGGATTAACTCATGCTGGAAACTGGCCGTTCTGGGCACACGAAGATTGTGGCCGACTCACAGGCATTTGCCGTTCTGCTAGTATATAATCCACCAGCATGAAAAGAGCTACCCATCAACACGATCGGGTTTGTCCGTCCTCCGGGCTCTTCCGCTCCGGAGCGCTGGAATGAATTCTGGGACGTGATACAGGTTCCACAGACACTCTCTCTTCCTGGGAGGTACAGCAGTGGACGTTGTTATTTTGCGTTCTTTCCTTGTAGCAGATTGGACAGTAATGGCAAAGAGGGTGGCCCCTATCTCCGAACCCAAAGTCGAAGGGTTTCACATGGGGCAGATCTCTACCCCCTCCGTAAAAGAACTTATGGTCGGGTATTGTGATGTGGAAGGTAGCCTTTGTTTAATGTCCGTCGAGGAGCGTTCGTGAAGTAGGTGTATTATCCACATTAGTTGAAGGAATCTTCTCTTGACTGTCAAGGCCAGGAATTTACCTGATTCGTGCAGCAGTCTAAAACCCTGTATCTTTACTTTCCGTCTCCAGTTTACCATCACACAGTTCGATCTGGGTTTCCCACTTCCTTTTTACATGCCACACTGTTGATATGCCATTCTTGCTCAAGAAATGGCTCGTTGGGATAGTTAGCACGATATGTCTGGGCACTGAAGATAAACTTCTGTTCCACAGCTACAACAGAGTTTGTTTTTGTTCCTACCTCCCTGCCATCACCCACTGGATGTTGGAACTCGAAAACTGCTTGCGGTTTCTTCGCCTATGCTGCTACTGAGCTCAGTTCATAGTTTACTGCCTGCGGAGTGCTCTTTTCTATTCTGGATTTATGTAGCACACCCCCATGCTGTGCAAGTGCAGAACCTTGTCTAAAACTTACATGACTTGTCTTTTCCACCTACTTCTGACTTTTGACCATTTTATTTGTACGTAGTTCTACTTGTCTTCATTTTGTTGCTTACCTCGACTATCAGTGTCTCGTGTGTGAAGACAAGCGAGAAAATCACGTGCTTTTCTCGCTTCTCTTCACGGATGGTTTTCCTTTTTCAACAGCTAGCACGCAGTATTCTGCTTTCGATGCTCTCACACTGCTGCTTCTGTTCTGTAGTGTTTGTCAGTTATAATGTATCGATGTACGTCGTAGCAAGAGCCCCTGCGGTTGTACCTCCCAGATCTATACTCTATGGTCCGCGTGCGTGTTAAGCACGTGTGGATGTCCACGTGTAATTTTGATTGTTTACAACATGGAAGCTTGCTGGCAGTTTGAGAGTTGTGAGGATTGTGTACGATTGGAAAGTTCTTTCCCGATTTTGTTCGTTCTCCTGTTTTTCGCCATATTTTGATCAAGGTCTTATGTAGAAATAGATCGTGCATGATATTAATTTGAAGCGAGTCTTCATACCAAGGATATTTCAAATTGTTCGTTAACAAGGGATTATGTCAAGTTGATTGGTTTTTATTGACGGTCGGTCTCGGTTTTCCGCGTACTGTTAGCTCCAATTATCTGAACTCAAATAAGCTTAACCTTTTTCACCACCTGATCTTTTCTTAAGCTGGCGGACAAGGATTTTCTTGGTAACGGCGTGTCTTCAGTGTTCTCTCTTGCGTTGCTTATTTTTTGGGGAAAGTTCAGCAGTTAAAACTAAGTCTCCAGTAATATGCATTTGCAGGAGGTGCATCAGCATGGTTTGACATGTTAGTATCTTACTAGTTTGCTTGTTGAGGTCAGCCTGAGAATCAAGTTTTTTTAAACTTAGTTTCTGATTATCAATTTTTTTACGCAGGAAGAAGCAGCAAAAGAGATGGAAGAGCAAGAAAGGGCTAAGATTGAGCAAGAAAGACAGAAAGCTGAGGAAAAGATTAAGCTGGTTGAGGAGGACATTTCCTTTCATCAAGAAAATGTTGCAAATGCCCAAGAGGGCCAGCAGATGGCTCAGCAGATGGCTGAATCGAAATCCATCGATAAGAAGGAAGAGCTGTGTAAGATCAGTAGCGCACTGGCCGTTCTGGCTTCTGCTTCGGTAAGTGACTTCGTTACACTTATAACGTCATTGTGTTTCTTTTCTTGGCATTCTAGTTGCAAAGGCAATACCAATCGTGACAGCATACACGCCCTAGTGCGGTGGCAATAAGAATAGTCCCGTTTTAGTTTCCATTAGGTGCGAAGCAGCTACATTTGTTGATGGACTTGTTGCTAGGGACATTGTGATGAGGTTTGAAATGTATTGCCTTTAGGTAGTAACTTTTCCCTTGTTCTGACTTTACTCTTCTGTTCGTCATCTCCGCAGTCTGTCAGCAAGGAGCGTGGCGAGTTCTTAAGGCTTGTCAATAGAGAGGTGAGATCAGTTCCTTTGGAGGTATTTGGTTGGTATGGTATTGATAGTTATGCTTTCAATTTTGTGAAATTTTTATATGCATGGATATCGCATGGAAATTGTCGCGAGTCACCTAATAAATACGGAGGTTTTTCATTATGAACAGATTCAGCTGTACAACAATATGGTCGCTAAGGAAGGTACTCCCGAGGAGGAAGAGGCCCGCAAAGCCTACAGAGCAGCTAGAGAAGACAGTGATCATGCTGCCGAAGTCGCCTCCGAGAGTCGTGTTTCTTCCGCTCTAATTGAAAGGGTGCGTTTGTCTGGGCTCTCTTACTATGATAAACGTGAATGTCTGTTTGCCAGTGCTTGGACTCTTTGGAATGTTATCCTGAGGGGCCCTACAGATGCCCAGTTCAATTTGTATGGTGCCTAAAGTGCCAGCAGCAACGGCCAAGAAACTTTTTGGAAAGGGAAGAGTTATCAGTTGTCAGCTGCACAACCAAGTGCTGTTTTGCGCAATTGATATTTTTTTGTATTTTTCCAACAGGTTGATGCCATGTTGCATAAGCTGGAGAAGGAACTTGATGACGTCGACGAGAAAATTGGTGACCGGTGGAGGATACTCGATAGGTATATAGATATTTACGTAACATAGAGGACCGTACGAAGTTGAAGATATTTAATTGCACGAGGTTTTATTTTGTATCATACATAATCTGGTCTTGGAACTGTAATTTATATTGACACGTTTGTTTTGGATGGAGTAAATGGACTAACATCTTGTACATATTCTGGTAAAGCCTCAAGTTCACGATTTTGCTTTAGTCCGGCTTGTGATGATGGTCATGTGGCCTTCAGTCACTGAGGGGCATCTTTTGGGTTCCAGGGATTATGATGGTAAAGTTACAGCGGAAGAAGTTGCTGCTGCGGCCATGTATTTGAAGGATACCCTCGGTCAGGAGAATTTACAGGAGCTAATCAGCAAATTGGCGAAGGATGAAGGTATGCACACTCTTATGATTTTAGTCGTACATGTACTCTAAGTCATGTAACTTCTTTTGAAGTTGTAAGTCGTTTTAGGTTTGACGTATACTGAGGCATGCGTAAGTAAGTTCGAAACTACTCACTCCTTTTACAACTATACGAAAAGCATTACCATCTTTGTAGTAAACCTGGGGTAAGAATTGGGACTATCTGACTCAGGCCGCTGAGGGCAATCACAAGTATATTCCTAGGATGATGATTAGTAGCTAAATATCTTGGGTTTTGGTTTGGACAGATGGGAAAATTTTGGTGGAGGACATTGTAAAGCTCGGAAGCTCTGCAGATGTAGAGGAAGAACATCAAAGTGAAGGACACGGTGACGATGGGAGAGAACAGCAAAAGCAACCTGTGTCCTTGTAGATTCAGCCCCTGACAATTATAATTTCATGCTTAGTTAGAGCTTTGGTGTACAGTGAGAGAGGGAGAGTAAACTGTTGAGATGTGGGGCTAGGCTACCTTGAGGTTGACTCACGCCTAATCTTGTTGAGTCTTTTAGGTTGATTCCCTATGCATGCCTGCAGAAGATATATATGAAAGCTATATCATGCCAGCTTCCGGTCGTAGGGAAGTACGGGAACTTTGTCCCTTGACCACGAGGAGTGGTCATTATTGTGAATGAATGATCAGTCAGTCTGTCACCATATAACGGCCTCGGCTATACAAGTGTCTCGCCGTGTAATTTTGTTGCTCATAAATGATATTGCAGTCTCAGTGCAGAGGCTGTATGCCCTTGTGAATGATGTCGCCCTCCATGCTCACCATCCCTTATGTTTCGCTTTTTCATATACATTCGAATGATTGTAATTTTGATCCATGCTTTTAACAGAAACGATTTTTAGTCGTACTCCCTATGGAGGCTGAGTTAGAGAATCTTCATCTACATTGGGGAAACTCTTTGAGTGACCTGGAGCCCTAGCCGGTGGCTCCAGGCCCCTCTTAGAGAAGCTTCTGTCAGTTGCTTTTCTCCAAGAACATTGGTTCTTCGAACCGACTGTTTTTCCGTTGGTACTCGTGTTTTCTATCATTTCTTTCATTATTTTAATCATTTTTTTAACTTATATTCTTTGTCTTTATATATTCAATCTAATAAGCTACTAATTTCGATTTATTTCTGGTTGCGAATTCCTGTGAAAGTTTGTTAATTGTTACCTGCTACGCAAGATCATGATGGTTTCTTCTATACCCAGAAATCGCCGCAAAACTCACTCTACGGTGACGGAACCCTCTTCACTAGCCTTGATCCAATGGTCTGATCACAAGTGTGGACTGTGATGTCTTGAAACTGCTACCATGTGTGTTTTTTCGCGTGGTAGAATTTTACAATCCATCGCCCATTCTTGTTCAGTTGAAGAAGGGTACTTGTATCGTACCTGAATTCCGAGGTTATGTATATACTTCATGTGATAGGAAATTTAGATTCGTGTCATTTTCTAGCTATTTCGTACGTACTTTCGCCAGTTATAAGAAGTTTGACCGCCGCAAGGTTGTGTCTAGGTTTCGGTCGCCGGAGAAAGCGGCCTTTCACATTTGTCTCTTTGGCATCCCTGGTTACTTTGTCTGTTTGCCAGATTTGGTCCCTGATTATAACTCAATTTCGTGGTTTTTCACTCTTCTTAAGTGGCTTCGGAAGGGATTTTTCCCTGCAACGCCCAGCGCCCGCTCTAAGTGGTCGATTTTTGGGACAGAAAAGGCTCGAATTATAGTGGTGCTTAGAAAGCTGGAATGCATGCAGGTTCGAGCGGGGAAAGAGCTTTTGTTGTAGAAAAGATTGACATCCTTTTTTGATTGACTAAATGTTCTCACCAGATCGGCAGTACAAGTGTGCGACAAGTGACACTTATCTGGTGATTAAGTGGATGTACAGCAACTGGTTGTTACGCTGATTGGTTACAAGTAATAACGGTTTAATGTTGAAGGTTGATGAGGTGACATTGGCAGTCCGTTGGTACGGTTTATATGCTTCAACATATAAAAGCATTTAGCTCTCATCCAGACTCTGAGAGTAGCAACGGGTTCGTTCCGCCCATACATATGTAACTCAGACTCCAATCACATTCATGAGTGAGATACTGAGGCATACAAACATGGATGACACCTATTTCAATGTGTGGAAGCATAAAATGCTTAACTCGAGCATCTATTATGGTTGCAAGAGAGGCCATCTTATGCTTCCAGACTTTGAATTAGTTGTCATACAAGAATATAATACTTCCGAACGAAGTAAACTATGTTCGTCCAACACTTCAGGTGGGAGTGAACACGAGACTCACCAGCAACATCTCCTCGATACGCAGTAAATTCACGGGTACCATCAAATATTTGCCAGTATGCCTCTCCATTCTTGCTCTTTGATATTCTGGGGTGTTGTCAAATTTACTAAGCTTAATTAGGATGATCTGGTTCATTAGGAGTTAGAACTCACGTCAATGTCGATTAATCCTTTGTAGGAAGGATGGCTGCACAGAAGAATAGCATCATCTACCAGCATCTGAGACTTGAGTGGGTGCATTTGATGTTGCTGAATCAGGATTAGCGGCTGTTAATGTCTATGATTTGGAGTGCGTAGATCATACCTCGTATCATCCGCCAGTTGACCACGTACTGTGTTGTTGTCCTTGGACAGAATGATGGGCATCATGAAAACGAGGATGATGATATCCTATTGAGCACGCACCGGTCTTCAGCTGATTCTCCGTCTGTATGTCCGTAAACGTGCCCAGATGATCATTGCTTCATGATGTGTCGAAAACAGTGTTGGTCTCTTCGCTTTGCTTGCTGATTATAAGTCGAGGTTTAGAAGTCAGAAGTCGGTTCAAAAGTTGGGATATCGAACTGCAACAGAGATAAGGACAGACAGATGTTTGCAGGCTTGTTGTTCCAGACAACTGGATCGGTGGTCAGTCGAGGGCAGAAATGTTCAGTCATTGGAGGTCAACGACTGTTTACATCGAGTTAGAATCGTGAAATATTGTCAGATAGAGAATTGTACCAAACGGAAGTGGACATTCTCCTATTACGTCGAGTTCTTTAAGGTGATTTTCAGAAGGCAATCCTCGTTTCCCTATCTGACTTCTCAGTTTTTGCACTGTCAGAAGAGTTGTTGCTGCCTGCACCTTTAAGGCCACTACTTTCTGGGCTATCGGCGACATCTTTCTTCACCATTTCAGCTGGGAGACAAACAGCTTTCTCAAGGACAGACGTCTGCATGGGCAGTAAATGCACCAGTGTACATGTAGTTAGTTCAGCAACTTTGACGGTGTTCTACATATCCTTCTGGATGACGTCCTTTTTTATTTTAATCGAAGGTTTGCCTTAGCGGTTAGGTGTCGATATGCTTACTCAGCATTTTATCGCAGCCATCTTTGCCACAATCCTCGGAGACTTGTCGATAATGTGGATAATATTGAACATTAGCTCGTGACCATCACTGGGTAAGTCGCTTATCTTGTTTCCGCGTTCCTGTCTTCCGATTTTTGTGTCTGATCAGCAGTACGTTCAGGATGGATCCCCTTTACCCGTAACCAGGTGTGGAGGATGTCTTCAAGATACATTGAGGATGCATTGATTGATTAGAGTCCGTACTTTTTGTTCTGTTTGTTCCACATGACAGGGTGATCAGAAAGAAGTGGATCGAGAAGCCATGGCTGTCTGATGTGCCGGCTCGCTCCCCCTTATCTTGCCGTGCCCCTCCTTCTCTAACTCTTTCGTTTGTTTATCACAATACTTTGAATCAACTCGGTAGATTATGATCACACTTGGAGGTCGATTAGAGATTTTGAAACGAGATTACAACACAAAGCATTTTTGTGTCTGATAAGGTCTGTGGAAAGGTACGGTAGAATGATTGGACAAGCAGTAGCTTCACATGGATAGTTCTACAGACCGGTCATTAATGTGATGCAGGTCAGCAAGGTACAAGGCTATGATTGTACAGGCAGTGAATTTATTGCCCTTTTCGTTCTCCTCATTCATTGTCCTTCGATTTAAAACTTCTGCGAGTTAAGATCGTGCCAGCAGCCATGGACGGACTTGGACTGGGGTTACATGCTACGAAGGTGCCACGATGTCACTATCCTCGTGGGTTTTGCCTAAGGGTGTCTGAGCATTCTGAAGCTCTCATCAGAGGAAAATGTTGGTGAACTAATCATCTTGGATCTTCGGGAGCACAGTGAGTTCGCCTGTATGAGGTCATGGATGGTGAGACCAGAGACAACCCGAGCCGATGCTAGTTTGCGTCTGTGACTAAGCAGGATTCGAGATGTGAGACCTTATTTTGAGCTTGAGCCTTCAATCCTGCGTTGTTATGCACTAATTTATCTATCTTAAAGATTCCTTCCGTTTTACACCACATCTGTGACCATCCGCCGGAGTTGCAGATCCCATAGGATCTAACAGTCCCTGCCTCAGTAAAACTTCCCGACATTCGGAACATGTCATTCAGTACACTTTCAATTAATGCTGTTCCTGTCGAGCGCTAACGCTTACACATCACTGATAGGATTACCGGTTGCGCCTGACTCTCTCTGTGGTTGGTGACCAGAACCAGTAGGTCCAGGAGTCGGGAGAAAGGATGAGCCTCAACTACTGGCGACTGTCAGGAATCATCATTGGGGACAGTAGTGTTCTAAAGTACCAATCATTGCACACCATCTTGAACACATCAAGCGTATCAACGCGTCTGCTATCTTTCCTCATCCATTCGCATTGATCTGGAACCTCTGTCAATGCACGGGTTCTAACTTGGGGACAGTCGAATTTGTCGCTTCGTTGTAAGATTGTACAGATGCCCCATCTTTACTTATCAGCAGGCTGTGCTTGGCCAGTTATCGATCAAGTCCAATCAGATGGTCGCTACGCAGATAAGTACGGTTGACGTCAAACTAATGCACAGCATGAAGGTAAAGCCGAAATTATGAGTTCTAATCTCTCTGGGAAAGGTTCGTACACCAAGCAGGGACCTGTAGAAGGCAGAGATAATGAAATGTCAGCCTGCTTCGATCATAACTATTATTGTTGATAATACGGTGTTTCACAATTTCACCCTTTTTGATCTTAGCTCGTCGACTGTTTTGTTAAATCAGATTACCTGTTTCCAGTAAGCCCAATTACTAGATGATGTTGAGCTTGATCGGAAATCAGAACTTTTCAAGCATGTGTTGTACTGATCTGTCGGTGCTTGGACGGAGAACAACACCATGTGGATGTTTCCTGAGGTTCGTTCGCTCATCCAATATATGTCGATATCAGATTTGCGTCCGTGCCCCTAGAGATTTGAAAGCGCATAGTTCTAGAGCTCCTCAAATGCATGTGAGAAGAAACCCCTGAGAATAGTTAGTTTACTGAGGTTTCACCGCCATGCGTGCTAGTCAGGCCTGGTTTATGGTACTGTAAGAGTCAAAAGTGAGAATCGTGGAAGAAGTCAAAAGAAGGATAATCATGAAGGGAGTTCTCACGTTGGTCGTAAAAGTCCAATGCGTCTTCGATGTTCTAGGCTGCGCGTAGTGCCTATTCAACGACTTAATGTTTCATCAAACACTGATTTGTCCAATCAGTTGTAAACTGCGAATTATGCAGTAAATTTTCTTTCCAATTTCTCAGTAGACTTCGCACGATACTCGGTTCTTCTAGGCTTTCCACTTTTAGCAGATAAGTCATACGGCTTGCAAGTGCAGCACCTTTGAGGGCCACCTTGAATACCTCACTTCCTCGCAAATCCCTTCTAGGTGCGTGCAATTTGGATCCGACTTTCTGTGCACCTTACCATCCGAAGACAACAACTTCTTGGACATTTGCAAGCTTTTTGAAAAATAACTGCCGAAGTGAATGATATTTTCTTGAAACGAACGCAGGGATATTCCGAAGGCATGTGCTGCGAAGACCTTCGGAAACTTTTAATTTTTACTTGTTTGTACCCCTTTTAAGATCCGAATAGACAATTTTATAGCATGCGTTGATTTTGCATCTCGGTTGCTTTTTGTGCCTAGTCCCATGCTTCCCGTTCAACTTCATCCATGTGGCGGTTGATGGTGTCTTCCCGTTTTTTTGTTATTTTGTAAGTGCAGTACATGAAATTTTCGTTATGTCTGGCATATTTCAAGGTATGGGTCTATGTTTCTGATAAGGCAAGGCGTTCCAGATAGTTGACATGCATCCATCTAGAACTCAACGAGATTCTGGAAGTTGTTAAACAAGGGCGATTATTACGTATGCCAGCCATTATTAAATGAGGGCGATCGCCAGGCCTCTTTATATAGGGCGGAGTCCCTATCTCAACAAAATAAGGATAATTCTCAAATCAAAACATACGGAGTATACGAAACTTGAAATCTCTCGGCCGAATTTGACGGCAATGTAATATATCTTCGAGAAAGATGGGTGTTATTTTTTAATTTGTGAATACACTTTTACCATTTCAGCACTAAGAAACCTCTCTCCACACCGTTGTAGTGTTCAAAATTGGTCAAACTAATCCATCGAGAAAAAAGTTTGTATGAGTTGAAAAAATCTATTTTCAATATCTGGAATCAAACTGTTAGGTCAACAGATTTTCGTTTCACAAAACCCAAAAGTTTTTTGTGTTCTTTCATATTTAATCTATGTATTTTTGTTCCCAAGAAAGTTTGAGAAGTTTTTGATATTTTAGAACTAGTTGAATAATTTCTCGTGTTTATTAAATATAAAAGTAAGCAAGGAGACAAAATACAGGTTAAACTCCTCACGTGTCACCTCAATGTTTTAATTGAATAACTAGTTTCTCTTGTAAAACCACCTAGATAAACAAAGAATTGGCAAAGATCTAGTTGAGTATTTCCTTTAGTTTTTGTAGCAAAGCCATATAGATAACAAAGATTTTTTTTTGGAAATAAAGAATATTCTAAAAACAAAATATGGCAATGAGACTTTCGAGTTCTGTATTTGCCGTATTTAGACAGGCCTGGCGATAGCTCACATGCTCGTGAGAAGTTTCCATGATTCAAAAGGAACAGTCCTGAAAGGAAGCATAGCACGTACACGCGGATGTTAGACGAGTCCGTGCAGAACTAGAAGAATTGTCATATATCATCCCTTCTCTTTAATGGAATATTCGCAATACATTCAATAATTAGCTCGCACAAACGAACAAACGCCCATTGTGAAACGTGGATTCCGACAGATCTCATCAGAGGCAGGAGGCAAGCATAACGACTCCAGTGCCAA